AAATATTTGAATTATTCTATTTCTAGATCTTATTCGCTTAATTTAACATTGAAAATATTAATTATTAGAGAGAATGTGGTCAAGTTCGAAGTGCTGTCATATATGGACAGATTTGATACTACGGCGAGAAGAGCAGCAAAGACTTTGAGGCGGCCGTACTCTCAAACTATCAATTTACAAAAAAAAGGTTTTCTAAAGAATTGTAGGAAATTTTCTCTAGTTAATTCGTACATAGATACTTTTATAGTAGAATGATCCAGAAAGGAGATATTTAAAAAAAGCTGTTTTTGACGCCATTTTCTCAATATGGCGACAATTTGCCGTTCAAATTTGAGGTGGCAAAGTTGATTTTCGTGAAGAGCACCTCGACATCTATAAGATTACCAATTTTCAGAATTCCCGGAGTACTGTACCGCCAAAACGACCAAATGACTGGACTAATATTTACCCAAATATTATAGGAATTAAAATAAATACAGAGATTGTGGCGGAATCTTCGAAGTTCACAAAGACATCGAGGTTCAGGAAATTACCACGTGATTTAATTCCGAACCATATGCAGAGTATGAAGTGATGGAAGGTCGAATTACCTGCCATAAATTGGATCTGACGACGAAACTGTCATTTATTCCATTGGATGAACTACTAATTGACCAGTACCACAACATGCAATAATCTGCTTCCCCACCATATGTTTTAAACGTGTTTTCCTGTAAGGTCAATACTGGGCAGGGAGTGTTGTGGGAAATCAAGCAGGCTAGAATTTGAGGAAAAAACAATATAACTTGTCATTTTTATTTATCATAAAATTTTGTAATTAATAAATTGTTTATATTTTCATCCAATGGATTTTATATTTTTATATTCATAACTTTTTCCTACACATATATTTTTGTTAGCTGTCTCTTTCACGTATATACCATATTTGCAATCAATTAGTTCAACTACGTTTGCCGGGTCAGCTAGTATACACACATTATATATATATATATATATATAAATCTTATATCCTTTTATATCTTATATCTTATCTCGTCTTGTCTTCTAGGTGTTCCCTAACAATGGGGGAGGAATTGCTGACATCGTCCCCTGCCGTTCCGCACGCCCCGCACCTGAGATCGGCCCCAAGTGGAGCCGACATCAGGGGCGGCGACTTGGTGAGCAGATTGCTGGCGGCCACGCCCCCCTATCTGTACTCCGCCCCCGCCGGGGCTCATTCTTATTTCTTCAGCGAGATGCTGAGGAGCCTCGTCAGGGCTCGAGAGACACAGAGGAGTAAGTGGAAAGGAATTTTAACAGTTTCATCACTATCACTTTATATTGTCATTTCATACGAAATTCAAATATAATATAATTAGTGCAGTAAACAGATCGTTTTAGGTCTGAATTTTTTTACTGTGCTCCGAATTGAATAAAATTTTGGAATTAGGTTCATCTTAACCTCAAGTTCAAAAGTGAAAACAATTCGGATTCCGGGGGAATGACACCCCTTCTCAATTGTGTTATTACATTTTTCCAAAATAACGTCGGAAATCGATAGAAGAACTAATTATAAGAAAACTGCTTTAAATAAAATGTTGAGTCTCAATTCCCACACCATATTGGAAATTGTAGTCTTTTAAACGGTATAACATAATTATAACCATAGCATAACACTGGTACTTCATGTTGGATGAAATTAATTTAATTTTTTATTATTTAAGATATCCAAAATTGCATCTTAAACTTCTCCTAATCGATATCGCGAGGGCCGAATTGTATGTATTCATCTTTACTTTCCCATTTGTTGCTATAAAATGATTTTTTTATGAATTTCAAAAATATTGTGGAAAGATTAGTAAAAGTTGCAAAAAATATATATTGAAAAAAAAAACTATATTGAAAATTTAATATCCGGATCTTGTGTTGGCGCCCCCTAAGGCGCGCGCTCGTATTTTTCGCGTGCATTGCATTAAAGGTAGGACAAGCCGTAAATTAATACTTAATTTCATATTTTAAGTGAATTGGTTTGTCATATCCTATTCATATGTGTATCATTCATTCTGCCATACATATACTGTATTTTATATTATATTAATTTTTGGCACATTTCAGCTGCTTTTTGGCAATAATAATGAGACATTTCATTTTTCTTATTCATAATAATAAATTTATTATGCATATACTGTCATTATTTAGGTTCATAAATAAATTGAAATTTTTGGCAGATGATAGTTTTCATTTGTTTTCAATGCAAACAATGACATGTCGTTTTTTGCAACTTTTTCCATTTATTTCTACAATATTGCACATATATCCCAGTACTTTATAATCACATACATCCTAGAAAATTTCCTTAACCAACTTCAGAAAGATTTATCAAAATCCGAATAATCGTTCAGTAGGAGTATACAGTGAGTGCTTGCAATTTAATACGAACTTTTTATGATAGCAATAAAGCTCAAATTGATTCTACGTTTTGGTTCCAAAACGTTTGTTGTGAAAAAGGAAAAGGCTGATTTTAGGGTTTTCCCGGAAATTATTCGATTTTTTCTCGCCGTAAGAACCACTCTTGGCCTGAACAAACATTTTAAAAAAAGAATTGGCCAAATTGGTTCAGGCGTTGTTGAGTTATGCGCTTACCAACACATTTTGTGATTCATTTTTATATATAAGATTATATCGATTATACGTATTTCTATAAACAGACAATTTACTCGAGTTTATTAATTTTTCTCAATATTCCACTCCATATTAAGTATTCATATCCATTCAATAATACCAACACCATTCAATTGTACAATTCGAGCATATGAATTGTTTACACAATGCTAGGATTTGAAGTAAATTCTGACATACATGCATATAAATAAATAAATATAAATAAAAAACACACATATATATATATATATATATATATATATATATATATATATATATACATTTATCCAATTATAATTCTAACCTAACCTCAATTTCTCTTCAGGTGCAAGCATGGCGACTCGTCGTACAAGAAAACGTTCCTGGATGCCTCCGACATCAGCACAACACCACAACACAAATTCAGTCCCCGAAACCGATCGTTTCTCCAAAAAACCTTCAACAATACGTTCTCCAGATCGTCCTTTAGAGCTCACAACAAATATAAAACCACAACACGAATCTACACCATCACAAAATCATTTAACGAAACACACCACCGAAAACATATTAAGAAACTCAACAAGTAGCGAAGGAGCTGTCAAAGTGACGGAGAATCAGGAGCACCAACAGACAGATTTGATTTTGCCGCCGCCGCCTCCAATGTGGTATCCACCGTTGTATCCTCCTCCTTACGGGGTAATAGACCCTTTGCACTTTTTTATAGATTTACGTGTAAGTGGACACGTTTACGACCGCAATAAAAAAGAACAGGAACAAAAATTAGCAAATGTTTCAACTTATTCCAAGATGGCTTCCGATGCTAACAATTTCGCGGTTGGTAGACACGGCTCGGCGTTCTCTGTTCCTTTACCGCGAAACAATAACAATTCAAATTTAAATTCAAATTCAAAAGGCGCCGTGAATTTATCCAACGACAAAAACTTGTACAAAAAACCCGATAATGGTTGTAATACTAATTACGTTTTGCAAAATTTACCCAGAATTTATAATGATATTTCAACCGAGCGTAAAGATGCAACGATTTCTGTCGATGACGATGATGATGAGGAGCAAAATGGTGATAGTGAGAATGAAAATGATAAAAGTAAAGATGAGGAGCAGAAAAAGAAAGATTTGAGGGCTTTGATTGGATTGGAACTGGTTGTGGATTATGTTAAGAAAAAAGAGGATGATCGCAAGCCTAATTTGGATGAGGTTGAAGAAATTCCTGATTAGAAATATAATATGATCACCGAATTATTAAATATTAAGGGTGATACTTGATATGGACATTTTCGAATTTCTTTGCTCCCAAGTGCTCAAATGCTTCCAAATTAATATATAAATATTCTCTAATAGTGCAGTAAACGGAGCGTTTTAGGTCTGATTTTTTTTACTGTGTTCCGAATTGAATGAAATTTTGCAATTAGATACATCTTACCCTCAAGTTCAAAAGTGAAAACAATTCGGGTTGCGCCATAACATGACACCCCTTCGAAATTGTGTAATTACATTTTTTTTTTAAATAACTAATATATAATATGAATAATATATATGATATAATAAAAATAATTTCGATTTAAAAAAAAAATTGAAAAAAAAGTTTGTATAAAATCTTGAGTTTTCTTAAAATAGTTTGTACTAAAGTAGTGAATCTGCTAAAATCCATCAAGATGTCTATAATGAAGTGAAATCTAGATGGAATGTGAATTACTTTAATTCTGGTGGAAATAGCGCTCATTAAACCATATGATTTAAAAGAAAAAAACATCGTATATGCTTCTTATTTGCATGATAGCTCACTCATTTTACACGCAAAAAACTTGTAACAGCACTCATTTTAAAGCTTATATTGAGCACTATAAAACCCAATTTCACCGAAATGCATAAAATGTGAAACCTCGACACTAGATGGTTTTAAATACAACAATTAAATCTTGAACGAAATAAAAAACGACTTTGATCTTTCAAATCTTGCTTAATATTTTTCTTAGAACACTTTATGTAATACCGATTTATTAAGATTTTTATTGACATTATTTTGTCCATTACATGATTTTTGTTAAAATGTATATTTAGGAGATATTTGCAAAAAAATGAAGAAAAACGCCAAAAATATATGAATCTTTAGGGGACAGTAACTTGAAAAGTATTAGTTTTTTTGAAAAACTATAAAAGACATTTTATTCTTATAATTAGTTCTTTTATTGATTTCCGACGTTATTTTGGAAAAATGTAATTACACAATTGAGAAGGGGTGTCATCCGAATTGTTTTCACTTTTGAACTTGAGGGTAAGATGAACCTAATTCCAAAATTTCATTCAATTCGGAGCACAGTAAAAAAATTCAGAGGTTACACCCTTTTTTCCTATCCGTTTACTGCACTATAAAAGTTTTACCTCATAATATTAACATTTAGATAGTCCGCAATTCAATTAAAAGTTTCGCAAATGTATTATTAAGTCACCAATTAATTAAATATTTTGCTGCAAAATTAATTTTGATGCCATGATGAATAAATATTTCGTTAAACAACCCACATGGATTTAATTAGAGGTTAAGTATTCAATAAAAGTGGACCAATGGGTTGCTGAACTATAAGTGTCAAATATGGCATGTGGGGTATCAAATGAAAAGCCTCAACGAGCACTATACAAAAATCATAATAAAAGCTACACTAAAACAATAGAGTTGGGTACAAAGCATTCGTTCGATATCTAATATCATTTATTGCAAAGTTCCAAGTATATCGACTTGGTGAAGGGTTTCTACATAAGACAGTAATATATAAAATTTAATTTAGCACAAATTTGCCGAATATTACATTTACTTGAGACGTACAGTTCAAAAGATATGAGATATAATAAAAAGTGGACCAATGGGTTGCTGAATTATATTTGTTGCCAAGATGTTGTCACTTCAAATAGGGCATGTGGGGTATCAAATGAAAGGTCTCAATGTGTACTATCCAAATATCAGATTAACTCAATAAATCAATAGGGTTCCAAACAATGTATTTTTCTGTATCCAAAAACTTGTTACTAACATTGTTATATTAAATATATATATATATATATATATATATATAATTTAATATTGATCAATTCTTCTCATACGAGTAGTTTGATAAATAAATGCAAACATAGTTTACACATTAATAATAAACAATTATTATAAGCCTAATAAAATATAAGCAAAATATTTTTTAAGCTTAGAATAATTATCACTAAAAACATTCAAATTATATATTACACTTTAAAAAAAATTAAACGATAACAAATTACAATTTTCTTTAATTTAATATTGAAGCAATATTTAGAGGATAAGTAATTTAGAAATATTGTTAAGTGTCGTAATATAGGAGTTCACAAATGCTATCACAGATGGCGCAAGAATTTACTTATTATTAAATATACGAAACTTTTAATTGAATTGCGGACTATCTAAATGTTGATATTAAGAGCTAAAACTTTTAGAGAATTTGTTATTATTAATTTGGAAGCATTTGAGCCCTTGGGAGCAAAAAAATTCTAAAATGTCCATACTAAAGACCACCCTTATATATATATATATATATATATATATATATATATATATATATAATGGCAATGTCAGACTTTTGTGCAAAATGTTATTGTTAGTGTAATCGATATTCCAATAAAATATTATTAAGTAATTAAAAATAATAGACACTAATGTGTTGTTAATTACAAATAACAAGTTGTAAGTAGCATTTTGCTTTAAATTCGATGTGGATTCTATCTATCGAATTTTCAAAATCGATTCAAGATTGTTTTGGGTATTTCCTTGAGACAAAATGTAACTTACAACTATGGATTAACTATTCGAATTGTAATTCTTTCTTATTAATATTTACTGATGAAATCATTTCAGAAATTCAATAATTAATCATATTAATTATGAATATATAAAGAAAACTTGTTCATGAAATTTCCATTAACAATATGCTAGTCAAAATAGTATTACTAGTAAAAAATAATATTAAGTGTATAAAATAAATATTGTTGTTTTATTTCAAAGTTTAATTAAACTATGCTTATTATATAAGACTATAATTTAAATGCCAAACCACGACTTTGTTATATAATGTATATTTCCTAATAATTATCTAAATTACATTGATTTAAATATTAATGTAACATGAAATTATATATGTTTATGTACATCATAAAAATTAAAATTCATCAATAATATAGCATCATCTATCTAGATAAATTAATTTAAGTTGTTGATTATATTATCTATGTGTCTTTAAGGATCTACATTATATTTATGATCGGTCAAATAAATAAACAGTTGACAGTTCAAACTGTGTTTTTAATAAGTCTCGAGGGTTGTATAATTCATAGATCTAAAAGAGAATAGAAAATCAGACATATATATATATATATATATATATATATATATATAAATATATTCTCACCTGGAATTTACACAGTAGCAACTGATGTCAAGCTTTCCGAATTAAAATATAAAGCACTACCATTAAGCACCAAGCCCCAAATGTACGGAATGAAAAATTCTTCTGGAGACTCTTCTTCGACATACTTAAACTTTAATTCTGGGAATTTCTGTTTAAACAAAAAAATAAAATAAAATATTATTTGATCCACACTGTAAAATTTAAAATGTAACACAGCAAACTATTCTTAACACAAAAATTGATACACAATTTTTTAAAAATGAATCTAATAAACTTATTTTCTCATACAATTATCAAACTAGTGGTGTATGGCATCGTGCCTTAAGGCAAATTGCTGGAACTTCCCGTACCGTAACGAAATGTTCGAGGAATACTGAATGTTTTCAAATATATTATTACAAATACTGTAACTTTCATTATCTTTGCTATCTTGTTATATCTGAGCAAATCAAATGTAAATCACAAATCAATTTATCTTCAGAACATTAACAATCGTCATTTCATTTCGAATTCAATTTAAAAAAAAAAGAGTGCGCGTAAGGATCACACGCGATTGAAGTAAAACTTATTTGCAACTGTATAAAGTAGCAAATTTAAGTTGAGTAAAAATAAATACACCATATAAAAATTTTGAATAATGTTCATTAGTAATATGGTAACACTCGTGATGCACACATTTATTAGTGTCGTCAATCATTATACGCATTTATATAATGATAAATTATAAATTATATATTTATGATTACATTAAAAATATGTATAATATTTACAAACAATAATGTAATCAAAGTCGTACTTGAAATATGACATGATCGTTTTAAAGTAATTGCTGATTAATAAATTCTATAATATTTATTCACACAGTGGATTATGTTAAACAACGCCTAACCAAATATTGTTTTTGCAAATTAACTCATCCTAAACAATTGTGTTTGAAGAACTTCATGTAATTAAAATTAACATACATTCATTTACTGTTTGTATTTTTTTACTTTTTCGCTGACGATATAATCTCATTCCTTGAACAGCTGTAATATCCGTCTTGCCTAACAAATTGAAGCCATACTTTTATATTTGTTTTATTTATCAAGCCCTGCACATAGCTTGATCTATGAATCATTTGCTTTTTTATGTGAACGTTAATGCAATGATCATCATCAATATTACGAGGTAATAAATTAACCATATTATTAATGTCAACAGGCACATTTATAATTTGGCCAAATATTCCAAATTGTCTATTTGCATGTCAAACCCGTTAAATTTACACAAAGTGAAAATTTTACCCGAATTTTACCCGAATTTAATATCTTTCGACAAGTTTGACATCCAACCTGATCATTTGAATCAATATTCAAAAAACATTATTAAGAATTTGTTTTTGAGCATCATTTGATATTTCTAAGCCACTTTGAAGCCAAAGTCGATCGCACACAAAACATACATAGCCAAAGCTATCATTTCTTACGCAGCGCAGATTTTTCCTTAGTTTCATTATTTATTTGCGATCATTTGCACTACAATTATTTATGAGGGACGGGATAAAATATTCTTCCGATCCTGACATTTTTATTAACTCACGAATTATACTGCGAACCCGTGTCGCGCCTAAAGAAGTTTTACTTCAAAAAATGTTTAGAGACTACGAGCTAAATACAAAACTCAAGTGAAAGTCGACACATTTTGTTTTGTTTTTGACATATGATTTGGCATTTGATGTATTTTTTGTTTTGCTCGCAGACTAGATCGAATAATTGCGATGCTGCGCTTACTAGCGTTGTAAGCGCGAATCATGCAAACGATTACTTTACACTCATATCGCGCCTAAAGAAGTTTTACTTCAAAAAGGGACAAAATTGAAGTTGTTTCTCAAAAATTTCTAAATTATTGACTTGGTTAATCATGTTCAAATCTTACCCTTAATCTATCCTTTGACCATTGTGTGGAACCTTTATTAATCGTGACCAGAACTTCATGCACTCCTAACTCGCTCTGCTCTTGCACCCTTTGTAGTCTTGAGGAAAAGAATCCTATCACCTGGGATAAATGATACAAAAGGTTAGTACTAACTTAAATGAAGTACAACTAAGTCTGTTTTTACACGGAGATTGGTTCCAGAAGAATCCGTGTAAAAAAGGGGAAAAAAAGACATTGATCTTATACAAAAATGGGTGATTTGAATACAAGAATGGGTGACTCTAAAACCTATTAAAATTGGTGAAAAACAAGAATTTTTAAGAACAAGAATTAAATTAGTGCTATTCACATTTGCTTTGACCAGTAAAAATTGTTTGTACGCGCTAAAGGGGAATTCACTTAAATCTTTAAGCTAGTGTTCGCAAACTATCGATACTGTCGATGGTTTCAGACTTTTTTCTTTCATAAATACTTTTTTGTGATATGAACATACTTCGCAAAAATTAAATTTGACAAAAAAAATTTAAGTACATAAAATTTCAAATCGTGCTAAATGGAATAAAATCGTGTAAAAAAATTAAAAATATTCAATTTTCAAACCGTGTTATATCAAAACCGTGTACAAAAAGACCGTGTAAAAACAGACTTAGGTGTATTAGTCATTTTATTTACCATGTCGATGTTTTGTATTATATCTTGAAAAGCAGCATTAGTCCTAAAGGGTTCGAAAATATGTTTGTTGTACAACAAAGCGTAAACTAGATTGGGACATGCAGGTAACTGTTGACTAAGACAAGAGTTTAAATTTCCAAAACCATACGAAGGACTTCTTCTAAAACTATCAAGTCTTGCTCCTGGTAAAAAAGACATATCATTAATTTACATTTATATATATATATATATATATATATATATATATATGTATAATTTATAATCTTACCAAATCGTTTGAATCCGTAGTATTGATAACAGTTTCAACAGGAACGTTTTGCGTTTTCTTTTGCAACATAAGTTGAAGTCTTGAATGTTTTTTGGCTAACGTTTCGAATAAACTGACTAATCTTTGGGCAACGTAAGGATGGAGGTCTCTGAATTGACCTAATAAAAAAAAATTAAAAAAATAAGACATAATAAGAAATAGTTTGTTTGTGCAATTGTTATAATGTGATAATAAATCTTATATATAAAAATGAATCGCAAAATGTGTTGGTAAGCGCATAACTCAACAACGCCTGAACCAATTTGGCCAATTATTTTTTTTAAATATTCGTTCAAGTCCAAACAAGGTTCTTACGGCGAGAAAAAATCGAATAATTGCCGGGAAAACCCTAAAAACAGCCCTTTTCTTTTTCACATACGAGCGTTTTCTAACTAAAACGTACAATCAATTTGAGCTCTATTGCTATTAAATAAAGTTCATATTAAATTACAAGCACTCACTGTATACTCCTCCTAAACGATTATTCGGATTTTGATAAATCTTTCTGAAGTTTGTTAAGGAAATTTTCTAGGATGTATGTGATTATAAAGTACTGGGATGTATGTGCAATATTGTAGAAATAAATGGAAAAAATTGCAAAAAACGACATGTCATTGTTTGCATTGAAAACAAATGAAAACCATCATCTGCCAAAAATTTCAATTTACTTATAAAGCTAGATAATATTAGAATATGTATAATAAATCTATGATTATGAATAAGAAAAATGAAATGTCTACATTATTATTGCCAAAAAGCAGCTGAGATATGCCAGAAATTAAAATAATATAAAGATACAGTGTATGTATGACAGATTGAATGATACACATATGAACAGGATTTGACAAATTAATTCACTTAAAATATGAAATTAAGCATTAATCAGAGCCGGTCCTACCTTCAATGCGATGCATACGAAAAATACGAGTGCACGCCTTAGGGGGCGCCAACACAAGATTCGGATATTAAATTTTCAATATAGTTTTTTTTTTTCAAAATATAATTTCTTTGCATCTTTTACTAATCTTTCCACAATATTTTCAAAATTCATAAAAGTTTCACTTTATAACAGCAAATGGGAAAGTAAATATGAATACATACAATTCGGTCCTTCGGATATTGATTAGGAGAAGTTTAAGATGCAATTTTGGATATCTTAAATAATTAAAAATTAAATTAATTTAATCCAACATGAAGTACCAGTGTTATGTTATGGTTATGGTTATGTTATACCGTTTAAAAGACTTCAATTTCCAATATACACGTAGTTTGGGAATTGAGACTCATCATTTTATTTAAAGCAGTTCTACAATTAACATCACTCATATTACAAATGTATATGCATTTTGGCGTGAAGAGTAATTTAAAAAACAATAATTATTATTTTTAGGTAAACGGTAAATATTAGTATATTATATTAAAAAATTGTACACATGGGTACAGGACAAAGTCTGCCGGGTCATCTAGTATACAATAATTATTAAGTATGGCTTTAAAAATTAACCAAATATTTAGATGAAAAGTAAATCTTTTCATTTTTCTAATAATTAAATAAATCTATAAGAGGATAATAATTTTTTATTATCAGGTCTGTAGTTCCTGAAGAATGAGTCATTCCATTTGAATTATTTTTGAAAATAAAACAAGGCTTTAGTTCAGAAATTTCAAAATCATAACATATATATATATATATATATATATATATATATATATATATATATATATATACTAGCAAACCCGACGAACTCCGTTATGCCACCAGATTGTTTCGTGAGAAAGATGAAGAAATCTTTTGTTTGTTTTATATTTGAAAAGGAAAAAATTGATTTTATTATACAACATTAATGAACTTATTTCGATTACAAAAATGAAGTGGTTTTTAGTTCAACTTCTCTAATGAAAGTGAATCCGCAAATTATCCGTTCCATTGAAGTGCTCTTTGGTAAACCACATTTTTTGTTTTTTGGTCTGACGTTAACACAAACAAAGCGGATGGTTTTCCAACTCGTGAACAGGCAACGTATAACTGCCCATGTGAAAAACAATAATTTTCTAAATAATCTATTTGAAATTTATCCCGCAAACACTAAGCGATTGGTATTGCGACTTATTATTGCGATCGCAAGGCGAACTGGAAATTGCAATCGTTTAAAGTAAAAAAGAAGACCAGTCGGAATCATTGGTATGTCACCAAATCGCCAGCAATTTTTGATTGAATGGTGAAATTCAGTGCGTGTACATCATTATTCTTTGCGGCAAAAATTGCTCGTTGACTTAACCAAGCATAATTCTGATAATTCTCACTAATGTCATTACTCTAATTTTTAATTACGGTAGGTGAAGTTCCAGCAATTTGCATTAGGGCACGATGCCATGCACCACTAATTTTCTTAACTATAAACCTTGCGGAGCCCGAGACCTTTGCAACGAATGCAAAATTGTCGAAATCGGTTCGTGCGTTCTGGAGTTATTTCGTCAGGAAGGAAAACCGGACTTATTTTTATATATATATGTATATATGTATATATATATATATATATATATATATATATATATATTACTATTTACCTGACATATTAGCTAGTGCAGCAAGACAATTCGTATGCAAATATTTATCCCTCATTTTAATCATATTGTATTGTATAGTCCGAATGATTACAAGAATCAATAAACCGCCTAAAGATATTTCAGTCATGCTTCTTTCCGTGTACCAGGGAATAGATTTTAATTGCTACAAAAAAATAAACAATATAATAAATATATTATTAAGTGCATATAAGTGTGTATTCATATAATTACCATTTGGTGTACACTTTTATTAAAACCATCATCTTCGCTCAACATCAATAAAATAATCAAAGACATGTATATGTGATGGGATGTACTATTTGGGGCATTGTACAAAGTCCTCAATATTGGAACAACCTAGAAAATAATGAAATTAAGCGAATGCTAATTAATAATTCAATAAATTAATTTAATGTTTTTTTATAACAATAGGTTACTACTATTAGCGGGGCAGGTAAAAATACCCATCTCAAGGGCTGGTAAACTTTAAAATCGGTTTACATATAATATTGAAAAAGTTAGCTGGTAGTTTTTGTTCAGATTCAATTAATTTAGATTTATTTTATTTACTTAGTATTTTTTATAATTATTTATGTGTAAAATTAGGGATTTTTTACATTTCTAAAATAATTATTTCAAACATTTTATTTTGCAGTAAAAAATATAATTTTGAATAGAACTATAGGAACATTTATTTTGTGATAATATTTTTAGCAAGATGGGAATGTTAGATATTTTTTATATTCTTACGAAAATTTTGTCAATTTTACCCCAAACACTTTGTTTTATCTTATATTATATTTATTTATATTGAAAACTAGTTAAAATTTACTAAAATCTAGTGAAAACTGTTATACACACTTAGGTATTAAAATTTTGAAGAATTCGTAGTTGAAATGCAGACTTTTGATAATTTGCGTTATATGGATTTAGAACATTTTTTACTTTTTTTCAAATAACTTTTAATTTTCTTCTCGGACATTATAATTTATTTGCAGTAGTAAAAAACTAGATAAAATTTACTAAAACCTAGTAAAAACTGTTATACACACTTGAATAATAAAATTTTGAGTAATTCGTAGTTGAAATGCAGACTTTTGATAAATGCATTATATGAATTTAGAACATTTTTTTACTTTTCTTTAAATAACTTTTGATTTTCGTCCCGGACATTATAACTTGTTTACATTAGTAAAAAGTAAATAAAATATACTAAAATCTAGTAAACACTGTTATATATACTTGTATATTAAAATTTTGAAAAATTCGTAGTTGAAATGCGGACTTCAGTATTTCTATAATTTGCATTATGTATATGATGGAGTTTGGGAATTGGTGATGGAGTCGCATTTTTTTTTACTTTTCTTCAAATAACTTTAAATTTTCTTCTCGGGCATTATAATTTGTTTACATTAATAAAAACTAGATAAAATTTACTAAAATCTAGTGAAAACTGTTATACACACTTGCATATTAAAATTTTGAGTAATTCGTAGTTGAAATGCAGACTTTTGATAATTGCATTATATGAATTTAGAACATTTTTTTACTTTTCTTTAAATAACTTTTGATTTTCGTCCCGGACATTATAACTTGTTTACATTAGTAAAAACTAGATACAATTTACTAAAATCTAGTAGAAACTGTTATATACACTTGCAAATTAAAATTTTGAATAATTCGCAGTTGAAATGCGGGCTTTAGTATTATTATCATTTGCATTACATATATATATATATAATATATATATATATATATATATATATATATTACTTTTCTTCAAATAACTTTAAATTTTCTTCTCGGACATTATAATTTGTTTACATTAATAAAAACTAGATAAAATTTTCTAAAATCTAGTGAAAACTGTTATATACACTTGCATATTGAAATTTTGAATATTTCGTAGTTGAAATGCAGACTTTTTATAATTTGCGTTATGTGGATTTAGAACATTTTTTTACTTTTCTTTAAATATCTTTAAATTTTCTTTTCGAACATTATAATTTTTTGCATTAATAAAAACTAGATAAAATTTACTAAAACCTAGTAAAAACTGTTTTATACACTTGCATATTAAAATTTTGAATAATTCGTAGTTGAAATGCGGACAAAAGTCAATATTTCTACATTTTAATTATGTATATGGAATTTGGAAATTAGGAATGGAGTCGCATTTTTTTTACTTTTCTTCAAATAATTTTAAATTTTCTTCTTGAACATTATAATTTGTTTACATTAGTATAAACTAGATAAAATTTACTGAAATCTAGTAAAAACTGTTATAAACACTTTTATATCAAAATTTTGACTAAAATCAGTTGATATAGCATTAAAGAGGCACTTTTCTATTTCAACTATGTTATATAACTTTCTTATAAAATTCATATTGTTCATTTCTTTCTAAATAAACATTTTTTATAAAATAAACCCCTTCGCTTTTCTTAATGCATAATTTAAATTTAAAATCACATTTTGAACTTGAATTTCATACAAACTTATAGTGTGCTAAAACATTTTGTACAAACAAATAAAAAAAAAATCACTTACCAACAAGTCTAGATTTTGATTCGTCAGAACAAACTTTTTAAAATTTTGATTTTTATGCAGCAATAAATACAACAAAAGCGTTGCTTGATCCAGGCATACAATGTTGCACAAAGTGTTAAACAATGGTAAGAAGTCAACACGAAAGCTTATTGAGTCATTATTGCTAGGATCTAGAAAACAAAATATATATAGATATACATATATATACATATACATGTATATATATATGCATATATAAATATATATATATATATATATATGAAAATTTTTTTTTACCATTAGTGTCAACACAACTAAACAAGCAATCTCTATACACGTTCTTCTGAGTTGTACAATGGTTAGTCAACACGAGCAATAACAAGAGACTGTGATTTGCTAATGGTGTTGTCTCTCGAAAGTTTTCTGCTAATGCTTCAGGAGAATCAGAATTTAATGCTTGCGTTGTTTGTGATCTCGATTTGAGAAAGTCAGTAAAGACCACAGATCTGAAAAATAAAATATAAATATAAAAATATAATTTTAATATAGATTTTTTTGTTGTAATTAAATACCTAATACAAAAGATCCTCCACTTGCGTTTCCAAACATCGAAGGTGGTGCCTTTGTGCAATGACTTATATGTTGTAATAAGGCTCTCGTCAATGGGGCAGCTTTAACACAACACACACCTTGCATAACAGTTCTAAAAAAAAATAAAAACACGATGTTATACTATTTAATCGTTTAAGGGGCACAACTAGTGTGAAAATTTCAAAAAATCGAATTTTCAATTTTTTTCATATTTCGATAGGTTATGCCTTTAAAAATAACATACCAAAATCTTAAATCGATATCTTAAATAGTTTTTGAGTTACATCAATTTAAAGAGTGTATATAAAGTATATAGTACAACGATTATTTAATCTTTAAACGCGTTTTTCTCGAAACAACATTTTCCGAATTTGCTGCAGCGATTACTCAAAAACAAATGATCCGAGCACTATTAAATTTTTTTTACATGTTCTATATATAGTTCTCCGTAAAATAAACTATCGATTTTTTGATCGGATCAAAATCGAATTTTGGCAGTCCAAAAACGACCAAAATTTTGAGTAAAATACGACTCTTTTTTAAAAAACGCCGTCATTTTGTCAATTTTTGATTTTTTTTATTTATCGTAGGTCATTTTACAGACAATATTATCTAGTTTAACGAGAATTTTTAACTTCCCGTAGGGTAGTTATAGTAATGGGCCAAAAATCGAAAATGAAATTTTTGCATTTCTCGGCGTTTTGAAGGTTTCTGAACATTTTTAAGGGACATACCTCAGAAACTAAATGGATGTGTGTGTGTGTTTTGTATGTCCGCATTCTTTCGTCCACGTTTTCGGGCGCACGGATCAACCGATTTGAATGGTTTAAAAAGCATTCGATTCCTATTAATAGGGAGATGTGCTGATTAGTTTTTGGCAAAGGCAGGTCCAGCCGTTACCGAGATATGGAGCAAAAAGTGCAGAAAATAGAAATCGAGTTTTTGAGAGAACGGAGCACCCGACTTGGATATTTCAAAAAACATTCAATTTGTAATGATTAGGAGAAGAGGTGATTAGTTTTTGGCTAAGGTAGGCCCAGCGGTTTCGGAGATACAGAGCTAAATGTTAAAAAATGGCAGTTTTTGAGAGAACTAAGCGTCCGATTTAAATGATTCAAGGAACATTCTGCTTGTTTCAACAAAATAATTGCTTTTGGAAAAAAAAAATTGTTTTTAATTTTTTTTTCAAAATTTTGAATTAAAAATTCAAAAAATTACCCAGGCTAAGCACAGTCTAGGCGCCACTCTGGTGCAAATGTTTACCCAAGTGCGTTCAGATAGTTGATGTAATGGAGCACTTTTGCAATTTTGTGTGAAAAATGTGAAAACGCCGCCAAGCTTAGCGCAGTATAAGTGAAAATGTCGCACAGAATTGTTTGCAAATGCGTTTAGACTGTGACTATACGGTAGCACTTTCTCAATTTTGTGTAAATTAGCCAACTTTTTTTTTAATTGAATTCGAAATGAAATGACGATTGTTAATGTTCTGGAGATAAATTGATTTATCATTTACATTTGATTTGCTCAGATATAACAAATAAGATAGCAAAAATAATGAAAGTTACAGTATTTGTAATAATATATTTGAAAACGTTTAAAATTTCTCGAATATTTCATTACGGTACGGGAAGTTCCAGCAATTTGTACCATACACCACTAGTATTTTTAAATTGCATCCACGTAGAAGGCCGGAATTACTGTAACAGTGAAGGGTTTTTTGTCGCGCCGTTGGAGATCGACGATAATTTAAAAAATGTTTAATTTTATTCTTCAAAAATTTTACTATGTATTCTTAAAACATGTATAAATATACTCCTGAAATTTTGAAATGGTTGATAAAGTAGTTTTTTTAATATAAATTCCCAAAAATCACCTTTTTTTAGGCGGTTACACTAGTTGTGCCGCTTAAGGACAATTTTTGTACTTACTTGTATATCACGGAGTCTTCAGTCTTCTGATTTGAAAAAACATTATTTGTCAGAAGAATTAAGGCACAATTAACAGCTTCCAAATGTAAAGCATAGGTAATATCTCTGAAAAAAAAAACAAAGTTAAATACAATCTTCTTATCTTTAAGTTAATATTTCTATTTAATATCTATTTACCTTGTAGGAACTATGGCTATTATATTAATCAAGTCTTCAACAAATGATTCAATGCGTTTGCTAAATCCTTTATTATTTTCTTTAGACACACCATTGATCTGCGTGCTAGTATCTTGCGTTTGTTTGTCAACAATAACATTTGCATTGACATTGTTATCTACATGATTATCTACTTGTTTCTGAGTCTTCAGTTTACCTGAAGCTTCAAAGTGTTGTAGCATTTGGTATTCGGATACAGTTTCTGTTAGATATTTGATGATGCATCTTATGACAAATAATGCATTGAAAGTCTGCCATATTAAGACGTTACTGAAATAATAAAAATATGTTAAATATATATATATATATATATATATATATATATATATATATATTGTGTATAATATATAAAATTCTTCTGTAATGATTTATGTAAATATACTCCTCCCAATTCTATAGACTGTCCTCTTTTTCTTAAACAACTATCCTTTAATGTTCCAACGATATCTACGCGTTCACAATTATTTTTCAATTATCCTACTCCTAAATCTAATTATCTCTTAAAATCGCCTATTCTACTTATGTCCTCCAACTTTAACTTTAACTTAATTAATAATGAAATAGATATTCACAACACTTTACCTAATCAAATAATCTCCATTTGCACAAGTTAACCTTTTTATTTTCTTTTCAAATATCTCATTATTTTATCTTATTCTGTTTATAAATAATATTGTTACATTCAGCATTATATGTAATTTCATGTTAAGCATTTTATGTTAATAACAATATATTGTAATTTTGTATATATTTTAATTGTTATTCATTATGCAAAATAATTGTATTTTTGAATCATCTGTGAGCTATATATTTAAAATAAATAAATAAATAAATAAATATTGTAAAATGTATATGTATTTTGGTGTGAAGAGTAATTTAAAAAGCAATAATTATTATTTTTAGCTAAATGGTAAATATTAGTATAGGATATTAAAAAATTGTAGACATGGGTACAGGACAACGTATGCCAGGTCATCTAGTATATATATATATATATATCTATATATATATATATATATATATATACGTGTATATTTATAATTATGTATCTATTATACTTGTCTGTATTCGTTAATGACAATATCTTCGACGCCTTAGCATGAAACACTTGGATCAGCGTAGAAAAATTTGCTGTATGCGTATCGTACAGCAATAACTTTTGACAAAGCGTTTCGACTCTTGAATCCAACGACAATTGTTCTTCCCTGCAATAAAGATAAATTTAAACACCATACTTAATCCTTTGATAAGTTATACAAATAGATTGTGCAATGTCCTACTTGTTACAAGGCGGTGTAATGCTAAACGAAAGAAACCTATCCCAAAAATTGTCATCCTTGGAAATAGTTCCCTCGCCGATGAAACGTACAAGGAATTCATTCGAAGACAAATCGGTTTGTCGACTAACTGAAGTGCCCATTGTAAATATTCATAAATCAGAATTCTAACCACACTTGTAAATGGAACACAACAGTGCGCACTATGGATTGGAGTTGTGTGAGTCTTTTACATTTAATTCACTGGTGACATTTTAATTTAAAATATTAAGAAAATAAGTAGTAAAACATCGTTTAGGTGCTTGCCACGATTTAATACGCAAGCTTTTTCATTGACAGTAGACGCGACAGTGCAAATGTCAAAATCGGGGTAAATAACACACGTAAACGTCATTGTGTAGGGCGGCGCTGCCAACGGGCACAGAACTAACTAAATGGAGAGAACGAACGAGGAAAGGATAGGACTATGTAAGTGGGAGGATAACATCCTATATATATATATATACTAGATGACCCGACAGACATTATCTATGCATCTGAAATTGATCTTGTTGAAAAACTTTTTTTTTTATTTTTTTATTTTCATCTCTAAAACCCCTGGACCTGTCTTACCATAAACTTTATCAGTTCTTAACTTCATCAATACAAATAAAATGTTTTTTTAAATCATTTAAATCAATAGAATATTCAAATCGGTTACTTCATGTTCACGATACAAATCATCAACTAAAATTTGTATCCGCGCACACACACACACACTTTATGCCTGTACCCATGTCTATAATTCAAAAATTCCAATTTTTTTTAATAACCTACACTGATATTTACCAATTAGTTAAAAATTATGATATTGTTTTAACTTCCCGAAACAGAAGTTTATGTTTTTATCAAAAAATCCGATTCGCTAATTTTATGTTTTCTCGACGTTTCAAGCCATTCTGAATCGAATGAGACCAAATTTGAAAAAAGTGTGTGTGTGCGTGTATGTGAACAGATTCTTTGCCGTAAATCGACGTTTTCTCAAAAACGGCTAGACCGATTTCAAAAACTTAAAAGCCATTCGATCAGAATGGTATCTGGATGAGGTCTATTGTTTGACAGATTTGTGCGACGATTGGTTAAGCCGTTTCTTTATAAATAGCAGAAAAGTGAAAAATTTTTAGTCCACGTTTTAGCCCGCAATTCTGAATCGATTTTGAAAATTCAAAAACCGTTCGGAAGATATTGGTTGGGAATCGTGCTGGTTAGTTTTTGGTAGAGATCGGCCGGGCCGTTTTCTTGTAATAAGGTGTTAAAAATTTTTTTTATCGATTATTATTTTTTTTTTTGACGGTAGATACCATAGTCTTCTAGATTATACTAAAATATTACGGCCCTACGACAACTCGTTTAGCTTTAAAAATTGGTCAAAGTTTGCAAAAAATAGTATCGTTTTTTGGCATTTGTCAAAATTAGACTTTTGATCGACGTTTTCTCAAAATCGCCTGAACCGATTTCAGAAATTCAGAAACCATTTGGTGTATGTCGATGAGGATTATCGTTTGCCAGTTATGTGCGACGATCTGCAAACCGTTTCTTTGTAGTTTGCAAAAAAGTGTTAAACTTTTCGTTCACATTTAAGCTCATACTACCGAATCGATTTTAAAAAATCAAAAACTGTTCGAAAGATATTAGTTGGGAATGATGCTGATTAGTTTTAGGTAAAAATATACCGAACCGTTTTCTTGTAATTAACAGTTGAAAAAAAATTATAAGCCTTTTTTTATGGAACTTTTTTTGGCGATATATATCATGGTCTTATAGAACTTACTGAGATATTACGGCCTTACGACAAGTAGTTTAATTTTAAAAATTCATTAAAGTTTGAGAAAATGAGTATTTTATTTGACTTTTGTTAATATTACAATTAGAGGATTTACTTGGTATAACGATAGTAGTACTTGGACTTGATAAACAAACTAAACCATTAAAGTCCTGCGTAAACTGGTTTTATAAAAATTATTGATTTGTGAAAATTTGCTTTTAGAAAATACTCCGAGTTAACGTGTTCGTTCGTTTTCAATAATGTGTAATAAATCCACTCGGAATACTTATAATCGCTCATAAATTAATTTATTTTTGATTGATTAAGTCGATTATTTACACATATCGGAAAGTTCATGTAACTTGCCTCAAGGCTAAATACCAATACTAACTAGTTTATTTGTATGCACTCAAGACCCTAAACGTATGATATTACAGCAAAAACATTTTTCTACAATAAAATCGTTTTAATTATAGGATGGATGCCTAAGAACAACTTTATCATATATAATATCGATTATATGCCATTCTCTCCATCTTCCGATTCGCATAGTCAACGGCTCCGGCCGCTCCGTTTACTTCTCTATGTTGTCCGCCGCTCTTTTCTTTCGTTCATCAACCCGCTTTCGTTCCTTCGCTCGCTTTCCCCTCCGCACTTGTCAAAATCTCCGTCCTCTATGTTGGTCACAGATGAACAATACATTTCTCAGTTTAAAAATCCAACATGGCGTCAATCAGAAATTTACTGTGGCCTCTATAATTGCAATCGCTAAAACATATGCGTGGGCTCTATTTTATTAAGTAATATTTTTGTAATTCACCTTGTGTGTTTTGTGCAATGTCCCGTCATGCGACTTCCGGACCTCCGCCGGGCCTCAAACAAATAGATCTCGACCAAATATGGGGCGATCTGCGCGAAGGCGTAGAGCAAGCCTACAATCGGCAGGGCATGTCGAAGGCGCGATACATGGAATTGTATACTCACGTTTATAATTACTGCACCTCGGTGCACCAGCAGAGCGGCAGGGGGGTCAGCGCGACCACCAACACGAACAGTTGCATGAAAACTCGGAAAAGTCAAAACACTCCGGGGGGAGCGCAATTAGTCGGACTAGAACTCTACAAAAGACTTAAAGAATTCCTAAGGAACTACTTGGTAGCGCTCCTAAAAGACGGCGTGGATCTCATGGGAGAGGATGTGCTATCGTTTTACACAAAACAATGGGAAGAGTACCAATTTTCGAGCAAAGTTTTGAACGGAATCTGTGCCTATCTGAATCGGCATTGGGTCCGAAGGGAATGCGAAGAGGGCCGCAAGGGCATCTTCGAAATATACCAATTGGCTCTTGTGACGTGGCGCGATAATCTGTTCAAGCAACTAAATAGACAAGTTACTAACGCAGTCCTAAAACTCATCGAAAGAGAAAGGAATGGTGAGACCATTAACACAAGGTTAGTATCAGGTGTTATAAATTGTTATGTCGAATTAGGTTTAAATGAAGATGATGCAAGTGCTCGTGGACAAACCTTGCAGTGTATAAAGATTCTTTTGAGTCGATATTCTTGGAGGATTCAGAAAGATTTTACACAAATGAAAGTACAGACTTTTTGCGTCAGAACAATGTAACAGAGTATATGAAACGAGCTGAACAGAGATTAATAGAAGAACAACGAAGGGTTCAGGTGTATTTGCATGAAACGACTTTAGGTCGTTTAGCTAAGACGTGTGAAAGAGTGTTAATAGAGAAGCATTTAGAGATTTTTCACACAGAGTTTCAGAAATTGCTGGATCTAGATAAAAATACGGATTTAGCTAGAATGTATTTGCTGGTTTCAAGGATTCCTGATGGTTTATGCGAGTTGAGAGCGCTTCTTGAGGCTCATATAGCCGCTCAAGGGCACTCGGCTATTGATAAATGTGGTGATGCTGCGTCTACAGATCCTAAAATCTATGTAAACACAATTTTGGACGTTCATAAAAAGTATAACGCTTTGGTGCTTCTGGCTTTCAATAACGACAGTGGTTTTGTTGCTGCTTTGGACAAAGCATGTGGGAAGTTTATAAACAGCAACACTGTAACAACTTCTAGTAAAAGTCCTGAATTGTTAGCCAAATATTGTGACTTGTTGTTGAAAAAATCAAGTAAAAACCCTGAAGAGGCTGAGCTTGAAGATACATTAAATCAAGTGATGGTTGTGTTTAAATATATCGAGGACAAAGACGTTTTTCAAAAATTTTATAGTAAAATGTTAGCAAAACGTTTAGTTCAACACATGTCGGCGTCTGACGACGCCGAGGCTTCCATGATATCAAAACTGAAACAAGCCTGCGGTTTCGAGTATACAAGTAAGTTGCAAAGAATGTTCCAAGACATAGGAGTATCCAAAGATCTCAACGATCAATTTAGAAAGCATCTAAACAACTCTCACGAACCATTAGACATAGATTTTAGTATACAAGTATTATCATCAGGATCATGGCCGTTCCAACAATCTTTCGCCTTCTCACTGCCAACGGAGTTGGAGAGATCTGTCCATAGGTTTTCGACTTTTTATTCAGACCAACACTCGGGAAGAAAATTGAATTGGTTGTACAACATGAGTAAAGGAGAATTGTTAACAAATTGTTTTCGCAACCGGTACACGCTGCAGGCTAGTACATTCCAAATGGCTGTTTTATTATTGTACAACCACGAGACGCGTTGGACTGTGCAGCAATTGAAAGACCACACGGGAATAAACCAGGATTTTTTGTTGCAAGTGTTGCAGATACTTTTGAAAGCCAAGCTTCTGGTGTCCGAGGACGATGAGTCGATATTAAATCCAAATTCTGTGATAGATTTGTATATGGGATACAAAAATAAGAAATTACGTGTCAACATAAATATTCCTCTCAAGACTGAATTAAAAGTTGAACAAGAATCGACGCACAAGCACATCGAGGAGGACCGAAAGATGCTCATTCAGGCGGCTATAGTGAGAATAATGAAAATGAGGAAAGTCCTAAAGCATCAGCAACTCGTGGCCGAGGTCCTGAACCAGCTCTCGACCAGGTTCAAGCCCAGGGTGCAGGTAATTAAAAAATGTATCGACATATTAATAGAAAAAGAATATTTGGAGCGGGCGGAAGGTCAGAAAGATACTTATAGCTATTTGGCGTGATTGTATGTTACTTGGTGTATGAAATATGTAATATGCCATACGTACATATTTATACATGTGATACAAATGCACATATATAACTATTATACAACAACAACAAAGTAAACCTTTATATTTATAAATAGGTCATAGAATTGAGATATATTTGTTATTTAGAAACGATCCAAAAGAAAGAAACTGATATGATTGTTCATTGTTTGTGTTACAGTTTTTGTTTCGGTTAACTCTATTTTACAATTCACGAAATAGATCTGTTCTCGAGTATCTATTAGGTTTAGTATTAAATAAAACTAAGTTTAACAAAACATGTTATGTGCATTATATGATCAACAAATTCTTTTGTATAAAACTATGTATAATAAAAATAATTTTTATCTATATCACTCTCTTAATTATTCAATCATCAGAAGCAAGTTTATTTCTAGAATTTTCAGAATTAAAATTATTATAATTGATGAGTGATTTATTAGTAGACTAAACTCCGAATACTCCAAAATAAAGATTTTAAACTAAGAATGAGGGCTCTAAAATAATAAAGAAGACTCTAAATTAGAATTGAGTCCTTTTAAATAAGAATATATTTTGTAAAATAAGAATAAAACCTCTGAAATGAAAATAAAGACTGTAGAGTAAGAATGAGGACTTTGAAATAAAAATAAATTTTGTAAAAAAAATAAAGACTTTAAAATAAGAATTAATACTCCAAAATAAAAATCAATGATCTGAAAAAAGAATAAAGACTCTAAAATAAGAATGAGGACTTCGAAATGAAAAATTTTGTAAAATAACAATAAGGACTCTAAAATCAAAATAAATATTCTAAAATAAGAATGAGTACTCTGAAATTAAAATAAGAATAAAGACACTATAATAAAAACAAAGACTTTAAAGTAAGAATGAGGACTTTGAAATAAAAATAAATTTTGTATAAAAATAAATAAAGCCTTTAAAATAAGGATAAGTACTCTAAAATGAAAATTCAAGATCTCAAAAAAGAATAAATACTCTAAAATAAAAATGAGGACTCTGAAATAAAAACAAGTATTTTAAAATAAAAATAAGGACTTCAGGATACAAAGACTCTTAAATAAAAATAAAGGTTCTAAAATAAAAATATTCTAAAATAAAAATGAGTACTCTGAAATAAAAATAAATTTTGTAAAATAACAATAACAACTCTGAAAGATTATGAAGTTAGAATGAGGACTTTGAAATAAAAAGAAATGTTGAAAAACAAAAATAAAGACTTCAAAATAAGAATAAGTACTCTAAAATAAAAATTCAGGATCTCAAAAAAGAATAAAGACTCTAAAATAAGAATGAGAACTCTGAAATAAAAATAAGGACTTCAAAATTAAAATAAAGGTTCTATAATAAAAATAAAGACTGTAAAATAAGAATAAACACTCTAAAATGAAAATTAAGAAACTCAAAAAAGAATAAAGATTCTAAAATAAGAATGAAGACTTTGAAATAAAAATAAAGTTTCTAAAATAAAAATAAATATTCTAAAATAAGAATAAAACTTTAAAAACAGAATGTGTACTCTCCAATAAAAATAAATATTGTAAAATAAGAATAAAGACTCTGAAATAAAAATTGAGACTGTATAACAAGAATGAGGACTTTGAAATGAAAATAAATTTTGTAATAAAAATAAAGACTTTAAAATAAGAATTAGTACTCCAAAATAAAAATCAATGATCTCAAAAAAGAATAAAACTCTAAAATAAAAATGAGGACTTCAAAATGAAAATAAATTTTGTAAAATAACAATAAAGACTTTATATAAGAATAAAGACTTTAAAATAAGAGTAAGTACTCTAAAATAAAAATAAATATTCTAGAGTAAGAATGAGTACTCAGAAATAATTTTTTTTGTAAAATAACAATAAAGACTCTGAAATAAAAATAAAGACTGTGAAATAAGAATAAAGACTCGGAAATAAAAAAAAGATTATGAAGTTAGAATGAGGACTTTGAAATAGAAATAAAGACACTAAAATAAAAACAAAGTCTGCAAAGTAAGAATGATGACTTTGAAATGGAAATAAATATTCTAAAATAAAAATATGGAATAAGTACTCATATTGTAGAATAAGAATGGAACTTTAATATAAAAATAAATTCTCTGAAATAAAAATAATGGTTCTAAAATAAAAATAAGGTTCTCAAAGGAAAATTAAAGGCTCTAAAATAAAAATAAACATTCCAAAATAAGATAAAGTTCTCTTAAATAAAAATAAAAACTCTAAAATTAAAATAAATATCCTAAAATAACAATAAGAGCTCTGAAATAAAAATAAAATGTCTAAAACTAAAATGAGGACCCACTAGAAAAAAATAAAGTCTTTAAAAGTATCAGCATAAAATCGGTGTTATTTCCGAAAGATAAGTTTATATTCTTTCTAGAAACACGGATTTGCCAATTTTATATTCTAAATCCTTTTGAATCGTTTGACACCGAAATTGGAAAATTAATCTTTGGTCCGAATTTTTCTCAAAAACGGCTGCACCAATTTTAAAAATATAAAAAAAATAATAAACACATTGAAAAATGTTTTAAACAAATGGCAGATGTATTTGTTATACTCTGTTTATTCAATCATCGAATACAATTTTCTTGCCTTGGAAAGCAGTAATTTGCGGTTTAAGTTTCTTCTTAGCTTCCCATGAAGGATGCAAAGACACTTCTTGTTTTATTTCTGGAACAGCCTTTTTATTAACAGACTTATTAAATTTAGACTCTACCTTATCCATTTTGTTCTTAGACTTAAAATCAACCTTATCAAATTTAGGTTTCTTGTCCTTATTAAATTTAAAATCATTCTTCTCAATTTTATTGTGATTGAATTTCGAATCCTTCTGCTTAGTAAATGAATCCTTTTTGCTGAATTTTGCAGGTCGTTTCTTCACCACATTGCCAAATTGTTGGGCACGTCTCTGTTGCCTATTTAGGCCATCGTTATGAATTTGTTCTTTGACTGGTTTTGGTACAAATGTGCTTTCGTAATGGGTTCCTGAATCTGTGATAAAGAAGTCATCCACGGTTTTGGTAAAGGACTCATTTTCTTCGAGGTCATCTTGGGACATATCTTCATTGTCATCGTAAGATGATTGTTCATCCTGAGACATATCTTCAGAGTCGTCCGATAGTTCAGATTTACTTTTTGGTTTTGTTTTAGTCGTAAAGGATTCATCTTGTTCCATGTCCTCAGAGTCGTCCTGTGATTGTTCAGGTAGATTTTTGGGTTTTGTTTTAGACTTCATACCGCCTTTGTTTTTGGAAACTTTTTGGTTATCTGGTGGTGAACCTTTTGGTTTTGTTTTAGACTTTGGTTTGTCCCTGTTTTTAAAAGCATCTAAAATAAGAATGAAGACTTTAAAATAAGAATGCGAGTACTCTTAAATAAAAATCAATTTTGTTAAATAAGAATAAGAAATAAAAATTGAGACTGTAAAGTAAGAATGAGGACCATGAAATAGAAATAAATTTTGTAAAACAAAAGAAAAGAATTTAAAATAAGAATAAGCACTCTAAAATAAAAATTCAGGATCTCAAAAAAGAATAAAGACTCTAAAATAAGAATGCGAGTACTCTTAAATAATAATAAATGATAAATATTAATGTCAAATAAAAAATAAATATTCCAAATTAAGAATAAAGACTCTAAAATAAGAATGAAAGTTTAAAATAAGAATGAGCACTCTTAAATAAAAATAAATATTGTAAAATAAGAATAAAGTCTATAAAATAAAATTGAGACTGTAGAGTAAGAATGATAATTTTGAAATAAACATAAATATTCTAAAATAAAAATAAGGACTTAAATAAAAATAAAGGCTCTAAAATAAGAATGAGTACTCTAAAATTAGTCTATAAAATAAAAATAAAGACTGTAAAGTAAGAATGAGGACTTGAAAATAAACATTCTAAAATAAGAATAAAAATTCTAAAATAAAAATAAATACTTTGAAATAAGAATTAGAACTCTAATATAAAAATAAATATTTTAAGTCTTTGTTCTTATTTAAGAGTCTTCAAATTTATTCAATAATTTTTATTTTAATTTCATAGTCCTCATTCTTATTTTAGAGTCTTTATTCTTATATTAGGGACTTTATGTATATTTTAGAATGTCTTTTATTATTTAAGTCCTCATTCTTATTTTAAAATAAGAATAAAAACTCTAAAATAAGAATGAGTACTCTTAAAAAAATATTTTAAAATAAAAATAATTAAATTAATAATAAATATTACTAGTTCTTAGAAGAATAAAGACTCTAAAATAATAATAAGTACACTAAAAAAAGAATAAAGACTCTGAAGTAAAAATAAATAATCTAAATAAAAAATAAAAGCTTTAAAGTAAAAATAAGTTTTCTATAATAAGAATAAAGATTAGAATAAAAATTATGACGAGTAATAAAAGAAAATACTCTAAAATAAGAATAAAGACTTCTAAAATAAAAATGGTGACTCTAAAATAAGAAAGACGAGTGTAGAATGAAAATAAACACTCTAAAATACGAATACAATATTAAAGTAAAAATAAAGGATATAAAATAAAAATGAGGACTCTAAAATAACAATAAATGTTCTAAAATAAGAATAAAACCTCTGAAATAAAAATAAAGACTATATAATAAGAATGAGGACTTTGAAATGAAAATAAATTTTGTAAAAGAAATAAAGGCTTTAAAATAAGAATAAGCACTCTAAAATGAAAATTCAGAATCTCAAAAAAGAATAAAAACTCTAAAATAAGAATGAGAACTCTGAAATAAAAATAAAGACTATAAAATAAGAATGAGGACTTTGGAATGAAAATAAATTTTGTAAAAGAAATAAAGGCTTTAAAATAAGAATAAGCACTCTAAAATAAAAATAAATATTCTAAAATAAGAATGAGTACTCTGAAATAAAAATAAATTTTGTAAAATAATAATAAAAACTCTGAAATAAAAAACAAAGATTATAAAGTTAGAATGAGGACTTTGGAATAGAAATAAATTTTGTAAAACAAAAGAAAAGACATTAAAATAAGAATAAGCACTCTAAAATAAAAATTCAGGATCTCAAAAAAGAATAAATATTCTAAAATAAGAATGAGAACTCTGAAATAAAAATAAAGACTTCGAAATGAAAATAAATTTTGCAAAACAATAAAGACTTTAAAATAAGAATAAGTACTCTAAAATAAAAATAAATATTCTAAAATGAGAATGTGTACTCTCCAATAAAAATAAATTTTGTAAAATAACAATAAGGACTCTGAAATAAAAATAAAGACTGTAAAGTAAGAATGAGGACTTTGAAATAAAAATAAATATTCTTAAATAAGAATGCAACTTTAAAATAAGAATGCGAGTACTCTTAAGGGGGTTGTTCGATTTTTATTTTTGTTTGTTTCGGTTTTGAGATTTTTTGATATTATGAAAGCTAAAAACCTTAGAATTATTTAAAAAAAAAAAATCTCAATATCTATTTTTTTGACGAAGTTATAGATATATATATATATATATATATATATATTATATATATCTATATGTATGATCCTCTGAAACCGTTTTTTTCATCGCTCCGGAGCTATTGTATGCCAGCTGCTCTCTTTTTCATTATAATACGTCATGCACGTGACCTTTTTAATGTGTCAGCATTTTTGAACGCCATGGTTAAATTAAATGGTGTATTTAGTACATTATATTAAAAACTTTAAATACGTTTTTCTCAAATTGACTTTTTTCAATGCGGTGCCACAAATTAAAAAAAAACTACAAGTCGGATCGACTTGCATTTTTTTTAATTTATTCACCACTGCGATACCTAGTCCCCCTACCTCAAACAACTTCATAACATTACGCAAAAAATTTTGCGAAGCTTCCGCTCCAAAAAAGGCATTTTTTGACACTTTTTTTCTAAATAGCTGCCATTTTTTTCCTTCTTGCTTTTTTTCTTTCATTTTGGTAGGGGGTCTGGATTCAAACTTCTTCTTCAACGTAGTTTCTTTTTTTTTTTTGTTTCAGGCGATGCGCAACGGATTTATCTGTGGCACCGCAAAAGAGATCGATTTTGCAAGACTGCCTGGTTAAAAAATGACGGCGCAAAAATAAAAGAAGAAAATTACGTAATATTCTATGATTTTGTAATTTTTGTTTAAAAAAAACCGCTTGTCTCTATGATAAATACATTTCGAGGAAAACAAAAACGAATACCTTGCATTTTTTGTAACAAAAAAAGAACAACCCCCTTAAGTAAAAGTCAATTTTGTTAAATAAGAATAAGGACTTGGAAATAAAAATTGGGACTGTAAAGTAAGAATGAGGACTTTGAAATAAAAATAAATATTCTAAAATAAGAATAAAACTTTAAAATAAGAATGCGTGTACTCTTAAATAAAAATCAATTTCGTAATGGGTACCAGAATCTGTGATGAAGAAGTCATCCTTGGTTTTGGTAAAGGACTCATTTTCTTCGAGGTCATCTTGGGACATGTCTTCATTGTCATCGTAAGATGATTGTTCATCCTGGGACATATCTTCAGAGTCATCCTGGGATAGTTCAGATTTACTTTTTGGTTTTGTTTTAGTCGTAAAGGATTCATCTTGTTCCATGTCTTCAGAGTCGTCCTGTGATTGTGCTGATTTACTTTTGGGTTTTGTTTTAGACTTCATAGTGCCTTTGTTTTTGGAAACTTTTTGGTTATCTGGTAGTGAACCTTTTGGTTTTGTTTTAGACTTCAGTTTGTCCCTGTTTTTAAAAGCATCTTGGTCTTGGTCTTGGTTATCTGGTTTTGTTTTAGATTTCAGATTGTCTTTGGTACTTTCTGGTTCAGATTCACTGTTACTGTCATGTTCTATACAGAAATCCTCGTCTGACTCACCAGAATCATCAAAATTATCTCCACCTTTGTTTATGTCCTTAGCCAACTTAATCTGTCCTTTATCCTCCTTATTTTCCTCCAGCCAAGCCTGTCGTTTAGCACTCAATTCTCTAGCCCTGGCATTTTCCCTCCGAATCTCCTTCTTTTTGGCCTTGTCTTCGATGTGTTTCAACTTCCTCTGTTTCTTTTTACCCGGTTCCAAAACTTTCTCAAAATTTTGCTCCAGGTTGTATTTGTCTCTGATGGATTTAACCTTGTCGCAGACTGATTTGTGAACTGCGAATCTGTTGAGTGCCCTGTCGTGAAGGGACTCCGCCTTCGACAGGATTTTTTTGGGGTCTTCTGTTAGGGTTAAGGCGTGCTTTGATATGACATCGCAGTCCAACTTCTGGGTAAAGGTAGTAATAGAAATATTATTTTAGTATATTTAGGAAAGAACGAAGTTAAGGGGCACAACTAGTGTGAAATTTTCAAAAAATCGAATTTTCAATTTTCCATATTTCAATAGGTTATACCTTTAAAACCAACATACCAAAATTTTAAATCGATATCTTAAATAGTTTTCGAGTTACAGCCATTTAAAGAGTATATATATGTAGTATATAATATAACGATCATTTTATCTTTGAACGCGTTTTTCTCGAAACAGCATTTTCCGTATTTGCTGCAGCGATTACTCAAAAACAAATGATCCGATCACTATCAAATTTTTTTTACATGTTCTATATATAGTTCTGAGTAAAATGAACTATCGATTTTTTGATCGGATCAAAAATCGAATTTTGGAAGTCCAAAAACGACCAAAATTTTGGGTAAAATTCGACTTTTTTTAAAAAAACGCCGTCATTTTGTCAATTTTTGATTTTTTTTTCTTTATCGTAGTTCATTTTACAGACAATATTATCTAGTTTAACAAAATTTTTTTTTTTAATTTCATCCACGTAGAAGGCCGGAATCACTGCAGCAGTGAAGGGCATTTTTTGTCGCGCTGTTGGAGATCGACGATAACTTAAAAAATATTTAATTTTTTCTTCATAAATTTTACTATGTATTCTTAAAACATGTATAAATATATTCCTAAAATGTTGAAATGATTGATAAAGTAGTTTTTTTAATATAAATTCCCAAAAATCGCCTTTTTTAGGCGGTTACACTAGTTGTGCCCCTTAATTGAACAAGAAATCCAAAATGAAAATTAAATATAAGTGGCTTAAAGGCAAGTTGCATAAACTTTGCGAAATGTTTGATAAGAAATCTATATATTAATTTATGACTATTGCAGGTTATATAATATTAAACATTTTTAACTTCCCATAGGGATAGTAATGGACCGAAAATCGAAAATTAAAATTTTTGCATTTCTCGACGTTTTGAAGGTTTCTGAACACTTTACTGGCATACCTCAGAAAAAATGGATGTGTTTTGTGTGTCCGCATTTTTTCGTCCACGTTTTCGGGCGGACGGATCAACCGATTTGAATAATGAGAAATTTTAAAGAACATATTTCGATATTTGTTAAAAGGATAATTAAAGTATTAACTGTGGGAATTGAAAATCATCATTTTGTTTAAAGCAGTTTTACATTTAACATCACTCATATATTTGTGTAAATAGTAATTCAAAAAACAATAATTAGAATTTTTAACTAAACGGTAAATATTAGTATAGGATATTGAAAAAATCGAACTTTTCAATTGTAGACTTGGATATAGAACTACGTCTGTCGGGTCAGATAGTATATATATATATATATATATATATAAATATATATATATATATATATATATATATATATATATATAATATATATATATATGTGTGTTCTTGAGGGCGATACATCAAACAAAGAAAAGGCAAAGATTTATAAAATAATCTTTAATTCCAAACGTTTCGACATTCAATTTAATGTCATCATCAGTGGATCTAAAAACAGTATAAAAAAAATTAGTATAAATAGGTAATTATAAAATATGTGGATTGGTATAGAAACTATATATATAAGAGAAAAATTAATAAAACAGCAACACTTAACAGAACAGAATATAAAAGATAGAAAAGGTAATAGAAACTATAGATATTAAATAGAAAAAAAAGAAAAAAAGGAAAAATAATATATATATATATATATATATATTTATGCACAAAACTGAGAAACGCTAGTCCTCATCGAGATGCATGATTTAAATTTTTGAAATCGGTCCAGCCGTTTTTGAGAAAACGTCGATTTACATACTTTTTCCAAATTTGGTCTCATTCGATTCAGAATGGCTTGAAACGTCTAGAAAACATAAAATTAGCGAATCGGATTTTTTGATGAATACATAAACTTCTCCTTCGGGAGTTAAAAATGTACGTCCCGGTTTTGATTTAGAAAATAATAGAAAACTGATTGAAAATATAACTGTTATTCATCTGCATGATTAAACCTTTATTTTTATTTTGAATTTCTTGTTCAAAAGAAAACCCAATATAAACAAATCCAAGACATAACATTTCATATATATATATATATATATATATATATATATATATATATATATATATATATTAAATTCTATATGGACATATGTATGAAGAGTCTAATAATCGGGTGTAACTTTTGAGTAATTTTGTTGTCTCAAGTTTATGAATTTTTGCATTGTTTGCAAAGATTAATGAATAATTATCTAAATAGATTCTTTATATCTGTGTCACCTAAAGAGCAGTCTACAAAACTTCTCTTGTCGTGTAACAAATAATAATAATAATAATAATAATATTTGTATAACAAATATTACAATTAATTTAAATGATTAAATAATACCAAGAACAATAGGCATAATATATATGTAATCGTTTCAGCAATTTTTTACAGCAAATGCTGACAAAATAAAATGTAATAATTTATAAAAAAAATCTAAAGTGCAATTAAGTTTACTTCAGCCCGATTATTAGATCTTAAATATGAGTATTCAAAATATTAATATATATATATATATATATATATATACCTTTATAATAGTAAGTTCCTCATAAAGTCTATCAGCTTTGGCTTTAAATTTATCACCACCTTCGGGCTTTGTCTTTTCTTTCAATATACGAATCTCTCGAACAAGCTTTCTTATAATATGAACTTTTGCTTGTCGTACTGTTTTTCTCATGAGGACAATCTAAAAATAAAAATCAATTAAAATAAAAAATTAATAACAATCACATATAGTAATAATTGAAGATTTTAAATTTATTTATTACATACCTCATTATTGAGTTCAGCTTTATTCATATTGAGACTTTAGCTAGTAACTTGTGGTCATGAATTTTATAATATATTATTGTAAGTAAAATAAACTGTTTGTATTTAATTATAAATACGTTAATCACATAAATTTATTTTATAATTTTCACATTTTCAGTTTTAACCTCAAAAAATAACGTTTTACAAGACAACATGTCAAATAAAAGTGTGTCCAGGTATCGAATTTCATACATTTTAGTGTTGCCAGAAAACGTTATGGAAAACGTCCGTTATGATTTAAACTAGTTGGTATTGGTATTTTGCATTGAGGCAAGTTACATGAACTTCCCGATTTGTGTAAATAATCGACTTAATCAATAAAATATAAATTAATTTCTGAGTAATTAAAAGTATTCGAAGTGGATCTATTACACATTATTGAAAATCGAACACGTCAACCCGGTCGGAGTATTTTTTAAAAGCAAATTTTCAAAAATTAATAATTTTTATAATTGAACCAGTTTTTTGTAGAACTTTAATTGTTTAGTATGTTCATTAAGATCAAGTACTCTATTGTTATATCAAGTAAATCGTCTAATTTTAATTTTAATAAATATCAAAAAAACTACTCATTTTCTCAAACTTTGATGAATTTTTAAAATTAAACTACTTGTCGTAAGGCCGTAATATTTCAGTAAGTTCTATAAGACCATGATATATATCGCCAAAAAAATTTCCTTAAAAATCCGCTTTTTTTTCAACAGTTAATTACAAGAAAACGGCTCGGTAGATTTTCACCTAAAACTAATCAGTATCATTCCCAACTAATATCTTTCGAACAGTTTTTGATTTTTTAAAATCGGTTCGGTAGGATGAGCTTAAATGTGGGCGAAAAGTTTAACACTTTTTTTTCAAATTACAAAGAAACGGCTTGGCAGATCATTGCACAAAACTGACAAACGATAGTCCTCACCGAAATACATCAAATGGCTTTTAAATTTCTAAAATCGGTTCAGGCGTTTTTGAGCAAACGTCGATGAAAGTTGTAATTTTGACAAATGCCAAAAAGACCATACTAATTTTTGCAAACTTTGACGAATTTTTAAAGCTAAACGAGTTGTCGTAGGGTCGTAATATTTTAGTATGATCTAGAAGACTATGGTATCTACCGTCAAAAAAATAATCATAAAAATCGTCGAAATTTTTATTATAAAAACTTTATTACAAGAAAACGGCCCGGCCGATCTTTACCAAAAACTAATCAGCACGATTCCCAATCAATATCTTTCGAACGGTTTTTGAATTTTCAGAATTGTGGGCTAAAACATGGACGAAATTTTTTTCACTTTTCTGCTATTTACAAAGAAACGGCTCGGCCGATCGTCACACAAAACTCAGAAACGCTAGTCCCCATCGAAATACATCGAATGGCTTTAAAAATTTTGAAATCGGTCCAACCGTTTTTGAGAAAACGTCGATTTACGGCAAAAAATCTGTTCACATACACACACACATACTTTCTCCAAATTTGGTCTCAGAATGGCTTGAAACGTCGAGAAAACATAAAATTAGCGAATCGGATTTTTTTATGAAAACATAAACTTCTCCTTCGGGAAGTTAATAAACAAATTGTAACATATCAAAAAGTTTATTCTTAAAAAAAATGACAATGTCCACATTTTAGATTTTTCATATTTAATAATAATTTAAATTATTTTATTTACCTCACTCGTTGCTGCTATTTAAAATGCTCAACAGCCCTTCATCGGTAATTGCAAAAGACTGCATATTTGCAGATTCCCCAGTAACAATTTGTTCCGAATCATGAATGGTTGAAAAGTCTTCTAAAAGTATATCATCCATCACAGCAACCGAGCCCTTTTTATCAACGCAATCGTCTTCAAAAATATTTGTTGGATTTTCCATAATTTGTAATAAATTATCTGAAAATGTGATGAAGGTGTATTCCTCTTTTGCAGGTGCTATTAGGGATTCCTTAGCAGGTGATGATGTTGGTTTTGAGACTTTGCAAGGGGCTTGATTTGCTTGTGCAGTTTGCTAAAAATGATAAGAATAGATTAAGCAAAATCTGTTTAAACTAGTTGGTTTGGTATTTAGCCTTAAGGCAAGTTACATGAACTTCCCGATATATGTAAATAATCGACTTAATCAATAAAAAATAAATTAATTTATGAGTGATTAAAAGTATTCCGAGTAGATTTATTGCACATAATTAAAAACTAAGAAACACGTTAACTCGGAGTATTTTCTAAAAGCAAATTTTCACAAATCAACAATTTTTATATTTGAACCAGTTTGTGTAGCACTGTAATGTTTCAGTATGTTCATTAAGACCAAGTACTCTATCGTTACACCAAGTAAATCGTCTAATTTTAATTTTAACAAACGTCAAAAAAACTTCTCTTTTTCTCAAACTTTGATGAATTTTTAAAATTAAACTACATGTCGTAATGCCGTAATATTTTAGTAAGTTCTAGGACCATGATGTATAGCCAAAAAAGTTTCATAAAAATCGGCTTAATATTTTTTTCAACAGTTAATTACAAGAAAACGGCTCGGTAGATTTTCACCTAAAACTAATCAGTATCATTCCCAAATAATATCTTTCGAACAGTTTTTGATTTTTTTAAATCGGTTCGGTAGGATGAGCTTAAATGTGAACGAAAAGTTTAAAACTTTTTTCAAACTACAAAGAAACGGCTTGGCAGATCGTCGCACAAAACTGACGAACGATAGTCCTCATCGAAATACATCAAATGGCTTTTAAATTTCTGAAATCGGTTCAGGCGTTGTTGAGAAAACGTCGATGAAAGGTCTAATTTTGACAAATGTCAAAAAGACTATATTAATTTTTGCAAACTTTGACGAATTTTTAAAATTAAACGACTTGTCGTAGGGCCGTAATATTTTAGTATAACCTAGAAGACTATAGTATCTACCGTCAAAAAAATAATAATAAAAATCGTCGAAAAAAATTTTTTTAACACTTTATTACAAGAAAACGGCCCGGCCGATCTTCACCAAAAACTAATCAGCACGATTCCCAATCAATACCTTTCAAACGGTTTTTGAATTTTCATAATCAGTTAAAGAAACGTCTCGGCCGATCGTTCCACGATAGTCCTCGTCGAGATACATCGAATGGCTTTTAAATTTTTGAAATCGGCCCAGCCATTTTCGAGAAAACGTCGAATTACGGCAAAAAATCTGTTCACATACACACACACACACACACATACTTTTCCCTTAAATTTGGTCTCATTCGATTCAGAATGGCTTGAAACGTCCAGGAGAAAACATAAAATTAGCGAATCGGATTTTTTGATGAAAATATAAACTTCTCCTTCGGGAAGCTAACAAGGGTTTTTATACATAAACTTTAGTTTTTTTGTTTGTCTTGGTCTTGAAATGTTTATCACAGCAATAAATAAATAATGTACGCTTGTAGTTTCTTCTTAGTTTTTAAGATTTTAATATATTAATATTAGTCATTAAGTAATTAATATTAGTCAGTTATTTGTGCTTAGTTTATTTAAATACTTCTGTGATTTTTTTCACTTAGATATTTAGTTTTTGAAATATTATTTAAGCATAATTGTGAAATTATAATACTTTTATAATTATGTATAATAATTATTATATTTTCAAACATTCCATAACTGTAATTATAATTGTTAATATAAACATAATTTTAATTGTTCTTTGAACATATGTAATATCTTTGAAAATATATATTTTGTATTTCGTATGATTTGTTCTTATTTCCAATATTAAAAATTATTCAGGTTTTTTGGGGCTGTATACGATACGTACAAATTAAGAAGTGAAACCAGGGGTAATTAAAATATTATACATGTGCTGCCATCTATTTTTAAAAATTTGTATTTCAATCGAGGTAACGTCAAACCGCCAGACATAGCGATCTATTATACTTGTTTATCTATGGTTTACTGTATATATATATGGTTGGCTGACCTGCAAATTGACGTTTGTCATTGACAGTTGTCCCCCCGCGAGTGACTTCTGACTGTCAGAATGCTGTCGAATGATATGTTCACGTAATTTGTCAGTTCTAGTCGATTTAAAATCACAATTCCGATGCGGGCACTGATGATGACTCAAATTAGGATCGTGTATACGTGAATGTCTCTGAAAACAACACAAAACACATTACTAAAATGCTCTTTACAACGTCTGATCACAACATCAACATCTTAGGTTATGTTGTGAATTCGAAAGTATACTGTGAATTCAATGTTACATAAAACATAAAAAATGTCTATGTTTCGACATTTAAAAATATCTTTGCCAAAGCTCCCTAACTGGAGGATCCATTCAGCTTTTAGTAATGTAAATTTAACGCCTTCTCAGACTGCTATAGCAGTCACTGTAACGGTTAGTGTGATAACATTAGGTATTGTAGCTAGATATTTGAGAAGAAAGCGTACGAAAAGTATACCAAAAAAATTTAGAAACTACAAACGACGTCTTAATGGAGATGCTGTCAGCCAAGCCAGTTCCAGACGTTCCATCAGCCCTTCTAGACGTACCGTAGCAAGTTCCTTGCAAGCCCTATCAGACCGATTGTCTTTGGCTTCTGGTTCTTTAGCAATGGGTAACAACGTAGGCGAATGCGTGCAGTTGACACCTCAACAACTAGGCGTAATGGGCATGGAGGCTTTAGAAACTAGTATCACATATTGGGAAGACGCCTTACACTCTTTTCCCAAATCCACAAACGCTTTAGCTGTAATGTCGCCTGAAGAAGCAGAATTCTGCCACGAGATACAAAAATTACTAGATGCAGCTTATCAATTGCAAGACAGTTGTGATTATTTGTTTCTGGATCAAAGAAGCGTTTTGTTTCGTACTGAAAGTGTTGATTCGAAACAGACACAAACTTCGAAACAAACACACAATAGTAATATGTCTGAAACGAGTGTTGAAACAGAACAATCAACTGCTGAATCTTTTGCGTCAGCACAAGATATGGTTGCTGATTTGAGGGAGTTTGAGGAGTTCAATGAAATGTTTCCGGATTTGAACAAACTACCATTGTACAAACTGGCCTACGCCAGTTTGAAGAGAATGGTATTCCTTATCGTAGTTTAAGGACTGAACTGGTTCATTGTGGGTCCGACGTGGAATACTTAGTAAAACTACATTGTATACGTTTGGCATTCCAATATATTTTCAAAGACTCGTCTAAAAGAATTTGGTGTGCTGATATGGGACGTCAAATATTATCAGATTTACTCTTATATGGTGATAAAGATCCTAAAGACTTCCTAATCGGTTACGAAGACATGATGTCGTACATCCAAAACCCTCAAAATTTAGCCTTAATGGAACAAGAGTTGTCCCAAAAAAAGTCAAAGCACTAACATTCTACGACGTAGTCCTAGATTATATTATCATTGATGCATTTGAAGATTTAGAAGCACCACCGTCCTCAGTCATTGCAGTTGTGCAAAACCGTTGGTTATCTAACGGTTTCAAAGAAACCGCTTTAACAACAGCCGTATGGTCAGTCTTAAAAGCCAAACGACGAATGTTAAAATACCCCGATGGATTCATATCTAGATTCTACACAATTTCAGAACAAATGTCTCCTTTAATGGCTTGGGGCTTTTTGGGACCCGATGAAAAACTGAAGGAGATGTGTAAACATTTCAAAGAACAAATGATGACGTTCTTAGTGGACATTTATAATTTTCAAAAATGCAGATACACCTCTGTAGAAGAGTTATCGAGTGATATTTTTAAATTACTTGAGAGCACTGTCAACAATATAAGTCTCAAGCTTCTAACACAATAAATGAAATAAATTAGCTGAATTCATTCAAAGATTAAAATGTGATACAAGTTGGCATTTTAGATAATTAAATAAATTATTTAACGTTGTACATTATGCTGAAATAAATCTAGTATATGATAGTGCAATTAATTATGTTTTATTAACCCATCCCAAGAATTTTTTCCTAAGAGTTAATAAAATTTTTTTTGTATATCGAAAATTATTCAGATTTTAATTTTTTTTCTGGATAAAGTTCTATTGGGAAGTTCCAGCAATTTGCCTTAAAGCACAATAAGTGTAAGACAGATTTCATACACCACTAGTTAAAAGCAATTTCGAGATTAAAAAATAACCAAATATTAAATGTCTAACATGAAAGTCAATGCCACAATTTATAACGAAAAAACAGTAAATATATTTAGTTTTTTTCAAATCTGCAAATTACTTTTAACATTAATTATTTATTATTTTTAAATGTTATATAATAAATTTAATAATTTCTTCCTATTGTTATCTCTTAATTTAGCACTAAAGCTTTTGTCGACTTTGTTGCTTTTTTAGCACAATTTTATTGTTTTTGATAATTTTTTTATTTTTTTGTATTTTTCCTAGTTTGGTATGTATATAATTTTTCTCCTTTTTTATATTTTATATTTTTAACTTCCCGTAGGGTAGTTATATTAATGGGCCGAAAATCAAAAATGAAAATTTTTGCATTTCTCGACGTTTTGAAGGTTTCTGAACATTTTACTGGCATACCTCAATAACTAAATGGGTGTGTGTGTGTTTTGTATGTCCGCATTTTTTCGTCCACGTTTTCGGGCGCACGGATAAGCCGATTTGAATGGTTTGAAAAACATTCGATTCCTATTGATAGGGAGATGTGCTGATTAGTTTTTGGCAAAGGCAGGTCCAGCCGTTACGGAGATAAAGAGCAAAAGTTCAGAAAATAGAAATCGAGTTTTTGAGAGAACAGATCATCCGATTTGTATGATCCAAAAAACATGCAATTCGTAATGACCAGGAAAAGTGGTTATTAGTTTTTGGCAAAGGTAGTCCCAGCGGTTTCGGAGATACAGAGCTAAATTTAAAAAAAATGGCAGTTGAGAGAACTGAACGTCCAATTTAAATGATTTAAAGAACTTTCTGCTTGTTTTAACAAAATAATTGCTTTGGAAAAAAAATTTTGTTTCTAATTTGTTATTTCAAAAAATATTTTTGTAATTTTTGATTAAAAATTCAAAAAATTACCCAGGCTAAGCACAGTCTAAGCGCCACTCTGGTACAAATGTTTACCCAAGTGCGTTTATACTGTTTCTTTAAGGGAGCACTTTTCCAATTTTGTGAAAACTATTGAAAATGTGAAAAAGCCGCCAAGCTAAGGACAGTATAAGTGAAAATGTCGCACAGAATTATTTGCAAATGCGTTTAGACTGTGACTATACGGGAGCATTTTTTCAATTTTATTTAAATTAGACAACTATTTTTTTTTTGAAATTGAATTCGAAATGAAATGACGATTGTTAATGTTCTGGAGATAAACTGATTTATGATTTATGATTTACATTTGATTTTCTCAGATATAACAAGATAATGCAAAAATAATGAAAGTTGCAGTATTTGTAATAATATATTTATGAAAACATTTAATAAACCTAGATACCTTTATTACGGTACGGGAAGTTCCAGCAATTTGCCTTAATGCACGATGCCATACACCACTAGTTTTATTATCAAATGTTATTCTGTAATGTTTTTTTTAGATATTGAATTATGACACACATTAGTTATCGAAACGTTTAATTGAATAAAGAATGTTGCTATTTTAACCTTTTAATTCGATGATCGTGCTAATATATATATATATTAGGGTGGTCCTTAAAATGGTCATTTTCGAATTTCCTTGCTCCCAGGGGCTCAAATGGTTCCAAATAGATAAAAAACAATTCTCTGAAAGTTTTAGCTCTTAATATTAACATTTAGATAGAGCGCAATTCAATCAAAGTTTTGTATGGAAATAGCATGGAAAAATTTTCAAAAATTTTAAAAATGTTTTTTAGATGTAACTTAGCGAACAAATGAATTAATAAAACTCATTCATTTGTCGCTAAGTTACACCTAAAACATGTTTTTTTAATTTTCAAAATTTTTTCCATGCCCTTCCCTTCTAATTTTGATTGAATTGTGCTCTATCTAAACGTTAATATTAAGAGCTAAAACTTTCAGAGAATTGTTTTTTATCTATTTGGAACCATTTGAGCCCCTGGGAGCAAGGAAATTCGAAAATGACCATTTTAAGGACCACCCTAATATATATATATATATCTATTATCTCTTACCTTTAAGTTCTTGCTCTGCGAAAACTTATGTCCACAAATTTCGCAAACAAAAGGCGTCTCTTTATTATGTGTAGTAAAATGGCTTTTCAAATTCTCTTTGCGTTGAGAACTGTGTTTACATCCAGGATAAGGACACCGTAACAAATCTCCTGTATGAATCAATTTATGGGCTCGCAATGTCTTTGCATGTGCCGTACTGAAGCCACACTCATCACAAAGGTGCTTCATTTCCTAAAAAGGTAAGAAATATATGTATATATATATATATATATATAAATATATATATATATATATATATATATATATATATATATATTAACAAAGTCTAATAACCGGGCATAACATCAATAAAAAACATGAATTTCTTTCAAAAAATGCTTTTAAATCCATACGTTTCGGCTATAATCCTAGCCTTCATTTAGTGGAAACTAAAAATAAAATTAAAAACTAAAACAATTGAGTTGGAGTGAAAATGACAAAATAAAATAGTAAATAGTACTCACAATTAGTTAATCTTAATGTTAAATTGGAAAATTTTAATAATCCATGGTATCAAGATATAGTAATGCACTACACTATGTATTATAAACATTAAACTTGTAATTACACAATATTTTCACAAAATACTAATTTAAAAAATCACAATTGGATAGTGTGTTGTTCGTAGACTGGTTGAAGATATAATGGAGAAAGACATTTTTAAAAAATATTTTTACCAAGATTCTACACATGTGTGGAACGAATTGCGAATATTTGCGCGTCGTTTTTATTGTTTTGTGAAAAATTTGGAAATACTATCTAAATAAAAGAGATTTGTGTCGCACAGCGTGTTAAGTTCATTCCGTTTATTTATTGTCTTATTGTTATAAATAGTTAAAAAAGATCCTTCTATAATTCTTCGTTTGAATAAATTTTGTTCGAATTGTAGTACAGTCGGGTTAGAAAAGTCCATATTGTGTTTTAAAGCATAAATATGCTCCGCAATCATAGTTTTAAATTGCTTCGGATTTTTTGATTTGTTTTTATGTTGTTGAAAACGTTTCATTAAGCTCTGGCTTGTTTCTCCTATGTAAATTAAATTACAATATAGACAATTTATTTGAGAGATGAGATTTCTACGTCGTTCGATATTAAAAGGGGTTTTTGTTTTGGTAAAAATAGTACTAGTCGTTGTACTAAAATTGTTTACAAGTCGGAGTCCAGATTTATAAAAATATCGAAATTCGAATTTAATATCGAACGACTTAGAATGAAACAAACAAATCTCTTTTATTTAGATAGTATTTCCAATTTTCTCAAAAAACAATAAAAACGTCGCGCAAAGGATTCGCAATTCGTTCCGCATATGTGTATAGAATTTTGGAAAAAAATTTTATTAAAAAGTCTAAATTTCTAACTTTACTTGTTTTTGAGATATTGGCAGTGGATCTTTTTACCCACGAACTTTTAAACTCCGCTCTCCCCTAATGTTTTTTTTTTCGACTATATATTCATTTTTCGTCAGAAGCAAAATTATAAAATATTTTTCAACCGAAGAACAATAAGATTGTCATTCGAAAGTGACAAATGGTACAAGTCTTTGAGGTCCCCGACGTGAAAAGCGCGGCTCGCGCTTGAAAATATTTAATATCTTTCGATTTAACAAAGTTTCCAACAAATTGTAAAATGAATTTTGTTGCAGAGAAAAAAAGAAAAAATATGTTTTTTTTTTTGATCGATTCAAGTTGGGGTAAGGCTGAGTAAAACCTTTGTAAATATTTAAGGGTTGTTATTGTTAAGAAAATTGCAAGAACAAAAATAATACTGATCCGATCAGCACATCCGGAGATAATTAATTTACCGCAGATGATGTTCATAGAAATTGAGCAAAAAATCCATATTTCAATCGTAAATATTTACGTAAAAAAATTTTTTTCAGCAAAATCCTGAAATACGTGTCAAATGATTTTATGTATAATATCTGTAAAAAAAATTTCAGACAATTCTAAAATGTGACATTTTATTTTTTCGAAAATCCGTACGATTTGTAAAAGAATGACCCATATATATATATATATATATATATATATATATATATATATATATATCAATTATTACCTTTGAATGTATTATAAGATGACTAGTCAATCCATGTTTCCATTTGAATCCCTTTCTGCAATGCGGACAAACGAAAGGAGTCTCTTGCGAGTGTTTAGGTATGTGTTGACTCAAAGTAGTCCTGGATTGAAATCTTTGATCACACGATGTACAAAAGAAAGGCTTAGGATGATTGTGTTTTTCCAAATGCGATAAAACATCACCTACTTCTTCAAATTGCATCGAACACAAGGAACAGGTTTTTTGTGCTCGGCAGTATTTTGAAGTTTTTAAATGTTCTAGTAAAGTTTGAGGCTTGTAGCATTGGAATTTGCATTGTAAACATCTGTGGAGTTTGCATTGGGATTTTTTAGGCTCGATGTTTAATTGTTTTGTTTCATTCAAATTTTTGTTGTCGTGATTTGTAGGATTTTCTTCTCCTTGCAACGACTTGGTATTTACATCCAAAGCTTCGGTATTTTGTTTTGCCAAATGTTTTACATACAAAGGTACAACATCTTCGATATTCAAAAACGTACACAAGTCTGTTAAATGTGATAAATGCGAAGGCATTATGTCTATCAAATTTAAATACATGAAATTCAATATAGACTTTACACAAACAGCACAACTTGTAGCAATTTGATTTAAATCTATTGTCAAAGGCGAGTTGAGACAAAAATTAGAATATTTTTTATCCCCATTTTTAGATAGACATCTATTTTTAATGTATTTGCTGAAATTGATCAAAATTGCTGAATGTGCGTGGTATATAATTTTGTTTACTATTATTTTTATATCACAGAAGTCTCCTGATTTTCTTTGGTTATTTAATAATAAACCTAGTTTGCTTGGAGGGTATTTGTCATCGGGAATCGTATCACTCATTTTTAGAGAAAGTCACAGGATTTATAAAAACTAAACGATGGTGAAGAATATTCAATGCAATATTAATAAATAGCAACCAGTATTAATATACACAAATATAATATTAAATTAATAAATGTACAAAACTGAAATAAGGATAAAATATAGATTTAAATAAACAAAATAAAATTTAGGATATTTTATGATATATTAATTAATGTGTATATTATTACTGATTAAATTTATATATATTATATATATATATATATATATATATATATATAATTATATTATTTGCTAAAATACTATAAGCACTTGTGAATAAGTGATAAATATAACAAAACTAACCAAAATGCTAAATTCATATAAAATATATAGTAATATTTAAAATATCATATACAATATTAACTAACGAGTATATTAATACTGTTTGCATTATATACAAGTACAATAGTTAAATGAATTCTATAAGTTAAAAATGTTACACGAGTATCATATAAAAATAACAATCTTTTATATAACCTGTGCTTTGAATTAAATTACATTCTGCATTGAAAAAACAGAAAATTTTGCACTATATTTTAATATTGCAAAATGAATTTTATATTGCTGTTGGTTAATTTTTAAACAAATCCATACTATTTGCACAATTTTTATAAACAAATACAACATGCAATTGCTTAATACACTAAATAAATGTTTTGCTATTGATATAATTATATATATATATATATATATATATATAATTAGTTTAATAAATAAGACTTAAATACAACTAAATATAAATTTATAAATAACATTTCATATTTGAGGTTATGTTATGACAAACTGTCAAGTACTAAATGAAACAAACATATTTTATTTCTAAATTAATGATTATGATTACTGTAACAATTAATTTTGCATTTACACTTTTTACAAAGTATTTGTTAATAGTTTAATAAACTAAATTTAATATAAATTCATATATCATATAATATTTGTATGTTACAAAATTTGCCAAACAAAATTTTAAATTTAACATTTACTTACTAAATTGATGATTAAGACAACTATCACAACTTGCATTGTATTTACACTTTATATTAAGTATTTATTATTAATAAGGTGTAATTAAATTTATTATAAATATATAAATCACATATAATATTTGGGGTTATGTAACACAAACTGTCAGGTAAAACACTAAATACTCATCATTTATACTTGTTTATCTATGATAATCATATTAAATCACAATTCTAATTACTGAATTAATAATTATGATTACACTAATTTAAACTAGAACAGCAATTACATTTTATTTATTTAAATTTACAAATAAAATGTTTAAATAAAAGTGTTTCAAGAAAATGTCAACTGACACTTTGACAGTTAAATATTTCAACATGGCTGACATTTTCAATTCGATACTCGAATATAATACGTATTTATTATACTGATATTTATATAAAAACTAACTACATTATCATAAAAATAGGCAAAAAAGACATTATATAATAGTTTAAATTTATAATAAATTATACGATATGTAATAAAAATCACCTTTCAAACTTTATGTTTAAGGTTATGTTTTCAAAACTGTCAAGTTAAAATAATCAAATGTATTTAAATTCACAATTTTGATTATAATAACACCTAATTTTCAATCACCTTTATACGTTATTTAAATTTACACATTTAAAGTTATTTATATAAGTTTTTGTTGGTTTTTGTCAATACAACACGTGTAACGAATGACAACTGTCACTTTGACAGTTCAATGTTGTGACTTGGCTGTCATTCACACAAATAATTTATATTTACCAAAAATATAAATAAATTCTACTAAAAATAGCCAAAATACGAATAAATAACGTTATAAAAATAATCTACAATGGTATGTATAAATAATAAATGAATTTTATAATATTAGAAATGAAATTTTTGTTTACTAATGTGAAATATTTTATTTATCTATTTTTCAGAGTGCTCTCTTCAATTTTCAAAGTTTATTGAGCGTTATTATGCTTTTAATATGCACTTGTGCATATTTGCGGTCTTTATTTCCGAGTATTATGGACAGAAATAAAGTTGGGTTAGTATTTGCAATATACAATTAGCAATATATAACTTGCAATTTTTATTTTGTTAGCCTTTAGAAAAGGTTATCGAAGTAGACTAAAAACTCATCTTAAAGTAATAATGATATGACGAAAATATTATTCGAAATATCTTTTATTATTATTTATTTTATTTATATATTATTTTCATATCTCAGTCAGACAGGGGTATCTGGTATGAGAGATTATGAAACAATTTTATTATTTTATATATACATATCATTTGTCTAATTCATTATACGACAATATAATATTTATTATAATTAAAATATCTATTCAATCTTCAATTTCCTTATAATGTTTCTTTATTTTTGTTTTAAATTTGTTGTCATCGTTGGTCATCTTAATATCGTTTGGCAATTCATTATATATTTTACTAGCGCTCAATATGACATTTTCTCTTAAATTCTTCTTTCTAATGTGTTCAATGTGAAAATTGTTTTGTTGTCTAGTGTAGTGTTCGTGTATGTCTTGATTTGTGTCTATTGTTGTACTTATTTTAATTCTGTTATATTTCATTTTGTGTATTAATTTGCATTTCCCTATTTTTATTATGTTGTTTAGTGAATGAATATTCGTTTGTATATCATTGTATATCATATCACTCTGTATATCATTTAAGTTAGCTTTAGTTGTTTGACTCCAAGTATTTATTCCGTATAAAATTATGGAAATTATATGCACTTTTAAAATCAATATCTTATTTTTTTTCCTGAAAGAATGGATCCTTTTTAAAGCTCCTGTTAATGCCGCTATCTTCTTTTTAATTTCATTTATATGTTTTGTCCATGTTAGCTTTTCGTGTATTATAAAGCCCAAGTATTTTATATATTCCACTTCTTCTATATCTGTATCATTTATTTTAATGTTTATTTTAGTAATTTCCTTACATTTTTTTTGTTTAAAATGTATATACTTAGTTTTTCCAATGTTGATCGTTAATTTATTTTCACTTAGCCATTCAGAATATAATTTCATGTCTTTGTTAATAATTTCTTCTAATAGTTTTTTGTCTTTGTCTGCATAGACTATGGCAGTATCGTCGGCGTATAGGATGTATTTTCCCATTAATTTTGCCTCTTGAAGATTGTTTGTATAGATGAGATACAATAAAGGTCCTAGAACTGAGCCTTGTGGGACTCCACGGTTTACTTTGCGTCTGTCACTTGCCACTTTATCAACCATTGTCCTTACTTGTCTTTCAGATAGGAAATCTTTGATAATGCTAAGTGACAAACCTTCTAATCCCAGCGCTATTAGTTGCATAATTAATATATTATGATCCACCGTATCAAAGCTTATGAATATCGCTACTGTATGCTTATTCTCTTCAAGGTGCTCACTTATGGTATTAGTTAAATCCATCAATGCACCTTGAGTATGTGATTACGGTAAAAAACCATATTGATTTTTGACAATTTTTTGAATGAGAAAATCAAGTAATCTTTCTTTTATTAATTTTTCATATTTCTTGGAGAATTATTTGGATCTGTTTTGTTTCCTGTTTTAAAAACTGGTTTTATTGTAGCCATTTTAAGGCACGATGGAAATACACCACATTCTATGTATCTATTTATTAAAACAGCAAGTAGTGGAGCTATTAGATTTATTATTTTTTTAGTGATTCTTGCTGTTATCTTGTCTTCCCCAGATGCAGCGTTATTTTTCAGATTTTCAACATTTTTTTTTTATTTCTTTCTCATCTGTTAATTAAAAAATTTGGATTTTGTTTTTAGGTCTGTGCATTGATGGTTTATAGTTGCAATGATCCATTTTTTTTTGTAGTTTCACACCTATCTCAACAAAATGTTTGTTTAGATACTCCGCAATGTCTTCCTTTTCTGTAAGAAATATATTTTCATCCTTATGTTGTATTTTTTCAATATTTACTTTATATTCATTTTTATTCTTTCCTCCTCCTAATGTTTTATTTACTAGTTTCCATATTTTTCGAGAGTCACTTTCACATTTTTTTATTTCTTCTGAATAGTTTTTGGATTTAATAACATATTTCTTTGCTTCATCATTACAATCTATTAATGTTTTCTCATACAATATGAAAACAAACACACTGTTTAATTAAATCTAACTTAATCCGTTAAAACTTGCCCAATTTCATAATTATTTTATTTAAATAAATTATGAGTCACATTTCACTGTATATATATATATATATATATATATATATATATTAGCTGACCCGGCAAACGCGTTTTGCCATCAAAAATATTTTGCCGCTTTGCAGAAGTTTTTATAATATACGTGATATATTAATAATAATGTTATATTTTTATTACACAAATTTCTTTACATTTCTGATAATTAATTCCAATTATAGTGTGTCCATCATAGTGTTTTGTTTATTTTAATTTTATTTATGTCAAATAGTGAAATATTTTTTTTAATCATTGAATGAATTAGATTTTAGTCTGAATCTACGCAGTACCATTATCTGAATATATAATACTTTATATAAATATCAGATTTTTTACTTTTGCATTTAATTTAAAAATATTGAATGTCAATTTCATATATCCAATATGCACTAAATTTTTAAATGCCAAAATATTTCCTTTTTGGTCGAAATTTAATATAATATGATATATTTTATATCTATAATTTGATTACCAATATTGCCTATAACATAACTTGGAATAATTAATTTATTTGTTTCCTATTGAAGTCGTTAAAAAAATTTTTTTTGTGAAATGTCAAATTTTTGTTTATGATTAAATTCAATATGTCGCTTTTTTATTGTGCTCTCTGATTTATAAAGTTTTGATGAAGTTTTGGTATCCGAAATAATTTGGTAAGCTAATCAAATAAATATAAATTGTAAATCTATTTATATAATTATTTTCATAAAAATTGAAAAATGACATTTGACATTTTCATGTCAACATTTATTTAAATTTATAAACATTGATTTTTAATTAGATTTAAAATTATAAATTGTGATTTTAAATATAGCATTTCATCTAATTTGGATATAAATGTTTTTTTGGATATAAAAGTTTTTGAATTATATTTTTTGAACTGTCAATTTTTTTTTCAAAAATCATAAACCTTTTTTTCTCGAATTTTCCATAATTTTTGACATAAATTTTAGTGTTTTGTTTTTTTTGCCATTTTCTGTCAAAATTTTTAGAAATTTATAAAAATTATATATTTATATTTCAAATTTACTTTTCAAAATTTCCTATAACCTAAGTTGGATATATATGCACACGATGAGCCAATAAAATTTAAAATCGGTTCAGTAGTTTGGGCGTCCATCGCGAACCAACATCGTGACACGAGATTTATATATATATATACATATATATATATATATATATATATATAATATACATATTTGGTTTTATAATAAATCACATTTCTATTCCTATTTCAATTTCCAGGGCGATGGGCATCTTCTGGAAATGTGCAAGAATAGGCGAACGCAAATCGCCTTATGTGGCAGTAGTGTGTACGATAATGGCATTTCAGATACTATTTTGGTCATAGGTCCTAACATCAAATTAAAAACTGTATCTGTATATATACATGCTCGATTATATATTTTTTTATTAATATAAACTCTTACAATACTTTAGACTATAATAATAATTTTAATTCTCTAATTGTTTTTATTTTTTTTTGTTTTCAATGTACTTTAATTAATTAATTAATAACTAATACATTTCTATTTTGTATATAATATATGTTGTTTAAAAAATTTGGCAGTAAATAGCATGAATATTTATGAATATGTCTTTTAAATAAATCTGAATGTTCGTTTAGCAAATTATGGCAAAAGAATGATTGAAATATATATTTATAAATTTAAAATCTTAATCTAGTGACTTATTTTGCGAAAAGTGCTCCATGATAAATTAAAGTGCATTAAACATTTATAAAATCAGAGAATGCTAATTAAATATGAAGCTAAAGTAAATATATATTAGGGTGGTCCTTGATATGGACATTTTCGAATTTCCTTGCTCCCAAGGGCTCAAATGCTTCCAAAATAATAGAAAAAAATCTTCAAAAAGTTTTAGCTCTTAATATTAACATTTAGATAGTCCGCAATTTAATTAAAAGTTTCGTATACTCATTTTTAACTTCCCGTAGGGTAGTTCTAGTAATGGGCCAAAAATCGAAAATGAAAATTTATGCATTTCTCGACGTTTTGAAGGTTTCTGAAAATTTTTTCAAAAAATATTTTTGTAATTTTGGATTAAAAATTCAAAAAATTACCCATGCTAAGCACAGTCTAAGCGCCACTCTGGTGCAAATGTTTAGCCAAGTTCGTTTAGACTGTTTATGCACTGGAGCACTTTTCCAATTTTGTGAAAACTGTTGAAAAATGTGAAAATGCCGCCAAGCTAAGCACAGTGTAAGTGAAATTGCCGCACAGAATTATTTGCAACTGCGTTTAGACTGTGACTACACGGGAGCACTTTTTCAATTTTGTGTAAAATAGACAACTATTTTTTTTTTTTGAAATTGAATTCGAAATGAAATGACGATTGTTAATGTTCTGGAGATTAATTGATTTATGATTTTAAGATAGCAAAAATAATAAAAGTTACAGTATTTATATTATAAAATATTATAACACTTAAAAATATTTATAAAATATTTAACCTGTAATTAAATTCACGTGGATTGTTTAACGAAATATTTAAATTAATTTTGCAGCAAAATATTTATTAAATTATCAGTAATAAATTGCCATCAAAATTACAAGTCCGCTATCACAGATGGCGCAAGAATTATACTTAACAATAAATATACAAAACTTTTAATTGAATTGCGAAGTATCTAAATATTAATATTAAGAGCTAAAACTTTTAGAGGATTAGTTTCTATTAATTTAAAAGCATTTGAGCACTTGGGAACAAAGAAATTCGAAAATGTCCATATTAAGGACCACCCTATATATATTTAAATCGATATATTTACAAATATACATTTAATTTTCAGCTCAGTAAACAAACTGAAGTACAGATTTATGTTTCGAAAAATATCAGCCATACATAAACAGTTACATTTTACTTTAATAAATTACTTTAATGATACAAAAAAAAATTGTTTAAATGCAATAATAAACTATACGATTCATTTCTACTTATGGCATTTCTTTTCCATACCCTGTATAAAGTTAACTTATAATAATTTAAAACAAATACAAAGTAAATAAAATTATATATACAAAAATATTGTATGGTTATTCTTATAATATACACATGATTATTAAAATAATTGAGAATATTATATACTAGTAATATCGTACAATATTTAAAAAAAAAAGTCAGCATTGTAATAGAAAATATGCATAATATTGGTAATTGACTGTATGTTTAGAATATATATAATAATATTTTACATTAATACATATTTTTTAGGTATTAATAAAATAAAAGGTTAAAACAAATAAAGAAGCTATTTATCATGCACATTGTCTAAGTAATTGTCATTCTCGACTTATTAATTAATATCAAAAGGTGTATTATATATATATATATATATATATATATATATATATATATTTGTAATATTTTTGCAGCCCAATCGTCGAATTAAAAAAAAGATTAAATAACAAAATTATTGATTCCATTAAACGTTTCGACACTTGATGTGTGTCATCATTCAGTAATCTAAAAAACATATAACATAAATACAAAGTTGATGATAAATATAAATTATGATGTAAAATTGATTGAACACGTGAAAGTTCCCAATATACATAAAATGAGGGTAAATCAACATATATATAATTCTAGAAACCCAAATCAATTCAAAACGATGCTTTCAGAACATATGATAAACCTGAACCACACTTTTAACATGTCAAATCCTTCCATCCTTTACATTGAAAAAAATTGTGACCTTAGAAAGATAGTTGAGTCTTTAATTATATCCCTTAATACTTTTAGTGTCAAAAAACGTAATTCCTCTCATCTCTTACATGACAGTTACAAAGTCATCATTAATTTCATGTAAAGTAATTCTATACAGTTTTAGAATCTTTCTTTCGTTATATTTCTTCCCTGTTTCTCTTTCCCCTTTCGTCTCTCACAACCCCCTCCCACTCCTTCACTACACTTGTTTTGTAACCTTGATCAGTGTCCACAATGCACCGCTATCAATAACATTAAATATAGGAGGGCAATATGCGCTCCTTCAATTTCTCGTTTGTTAATATAAAGTATATTATTATTTTTACACAAATTTAGTGTTCAATCAATTTTACATCATAATTAATTTTTTCTGTTGATTTTCCTGGTTTGGTATGTATAATTTCCTCCTTTTTATATATTTATATTTAACATCAACTTTGTATTTATGGTATATGTTTTTTAGATTACTAAATGATGACACACATCAAGTGTCGAAACGTTTAATGGAATTAATAATTTTGTTATTTAATCTTTTTTTAATTCGACGATTGGACTGCAAAAATATTACAATATATATATATATATATATATATATATATATATATATTAGGTTGTCAAATATCTCCCTTCCGCCTTTTTGTATTATAAATCAAGAGCAAAAAAGCGGAAGGGAGATATTTGACAACCTAATATATATATATATATATATATATATATATATTTATATTCTACATATAATATGTATTTAAATATATATATTTTATTTATATAAGTGATTTTTGGACAACAAATAATTTGCATTCATGTATTCTCAACTAAAAAGATTCATTTATATTCAAAGATTTGTGTTAATCTTTCTTTGTTTCAAAATGTTAATACACAACTGTTGAAATATTTATTGTTGAAAATTAATATATGTAATATTAAACAAATGTTGAATTCACACATTTTACAATTGCACCTTGAAATAATAAAATATTCAATCAAAATTTTTTTTACTACTTCACTAAATTATTACTTTATTAAATTATTCGTTGTCAAAAATCAACAATAAGATCTGATATATGTATATATAATAAAAATTATATATATATACGTATATTTCCAATAAATGGCTTTCTAATGGCACTAGATTTTGTTATTTTCTATCCGATAAATTCCTAATATTAGACAATATCTATTATGCTGGTAATAAAAACGAGTAAAAAAATCATACACTATTATTAATAAGAAAAGTACAAAAAAATGAGAGGATTATATGAGATTTTGCTTTAAGGAAATTATATTACAGTACTTCTACCAGATCACATATAATAAGTCTTTGTTGTCGTTGTTAATTTTATAAAACAAATATAATGAAGTTTGAATTCATATTAGTCCAAATTATATATATATATATATATATATATATATATATATATCTTGATATGATTTTCAGCCAGTCGTCGAATTACAAGAAACAAATAAATACAAACTATTTATTTAAAATATACGTTTCGACACGAATTGTGTATCATCATTCAACAATTCTTTCTTAACAGTATCTAAAAAAAATTTTACAAAGATTTGTTAAAAAAATAAACTTAATTTTAATTCAAAATAATTAAAAAAATATACATACTACAATCTAAAAAAAATTTCACAAAGATTTTTTTCATGTGGTTTCTCGTTGGCGTTGCAGTCGTTGCGTACAAAACTACATTACATGAAGTTCAGTTTTAAAAATCAAAAGAAAAACATGTTTCAGTTAATATTGTTAGTTTATATATTTATTTTATTTTTAATGCATATGTAATTATTTTATAAAACAATGTGTTTTTTTTGTGTGTTATTTCTTCCTGGTGTGGTATGTATATTTTTTAATTATTTTAAATATAAAATTAAGTTTATTTTTTAAACAAATCTTTGTAAATTTTTTTTTAGATTCTGTTAAAGAATTGCTGAATGATGACACACAATCCGTGTCGAAACGTATATTTTAAATAAATTTTTTGTATTTAGTTGTTTTTTTTATTTCGACGACTGGCTGAAAATCATATCAAGATATATATATATATATATATATATATATATATAATAAAATTGTTTCTTGGGCATCCATCCAGTAATTAAAAAACAGTTTTAAAGAAAAATGTTTTTATTTATAGAGAACATACGTTTCGGGTCTTGATTTGACCCATCTTCAGTGCTACAATTAAATAATTCACGGTTACAAATTAAAACAATATAAAAAATACATAATTAACAGACAAAAATAAGTAAAACAATGTATATGAAAAGTATATATGAAAAACAACCATAAAATAAACAAATGTAAAGAAACTCACCATATAAATAAACTTTGAAAAATAACACAAAAACACACAAAACTGCACGAAAAAAAATAAATATGAAATAAAAAGTTGGTAAAACGTCGAGTTATGAAAAATTTAAAAAAAAATTGTAAATTTAAAATAAATGATATATTTTGTTATAAATAAATATATTTTTTATTATATTATTTATATATTATTATATATTTATATTTATTTATAACAAAATATATCATTTATTCTAAAATTTACAATTTTTTTTTAAATTTTTCATTGTTTTACTTATTTTTGTCTGTTAATTATGTATTTTTAATATTGCTTTAATTTGTAACCCTGAATTATTTAATTGTAGCACTGAAGATGGGTCAAATCAAGACCCGAAACGTATGTTTTCTATAAATAATAACATTTTTCTTTAAAACTGTTTTTTAATTACTGGATGGATGCCCAAGAAACAATTTTATTATATTATTTCACCATCTGAAGGAAAATCTCTCGCTTTATATATATATATATATATATATATATATATATATATATATATATATATTATATATTATATATACACCTAAGTCTGTTTTTACACGGTCTTTTTGTACACGATTTTGATATAACACGGTTTGAAAATTGAATATTTTTAATTTTTTACACGATTTTATTCCATTTAGCACGATTTGAAATTGTATGCACTTATATTTTTTTTGTCAAATTAAATTTTTGCGAAGTATGTTCATATCACAAAAAAGTATTTACGAAAGAAAAAAGTCTGAAACCATCGATAGTATCGATAGTTTGCGAACACTAGCTTAAAGATTTAAGTGAATTTCCCTTTAGCGCGTACAAACAATTATTATTATTATTATTATATTATTATATTACTTTTAAGATTAGAGTGCATATCTTTTTTATCATTAATTACTATGCTTGTGAAAATAAGCGTTATATATTTGATTTAATATAATAAACATGAAATCTTGTTCTTAAAAATTCTTGTTTTTCACTAATTTTAATAGGTTTTAGAGATTAGGAACAAATCACCCATTTTTGTATAAGATCAATGTCTTTTTTTACACGTTTTTTTTTTACACGGCTTCTTCTGGAACCAGTCTACCGTGCAAAAACAGACTTAGGTGTACATCAAATAAAAATTGTAAACATTTATCAAATCACTTCTTAAAAATCGATCACGTGATCAACAAACAATTTTTCGAAGTTGTCTATATCATATTATTTGATGTTTTAACCTGAAGATTTTTACTCAATTTGACTATTATAAATGTTGAAATATGTATTCACGATAAACTGATCGATTTGTTACTAGTTGCTACATTGTCTTTTCTCTTCGCCACTAATGACTTCGGATCTAGTCTTTCTTTTTCTAAAATTATAAGCCGATACAAATTGTGTTGCAGTTGGAACATCTTGTTCATCTGCAGAACCACTTGCACCTTTTGTCGAAACGTCTGGGTCGGAGTCAAAATTACCTAAACTGGTGTCAGTTGTATTTTCATCTTTGGTAGACTTAGTACTACTATCGCGATTTGTAAAACTTGATCGTGGTTTATCTAAAACTTGATCTGTCGATGTATCCGTTGGGAAATTGTAGTACGAAACACTCGGCGATAGATTTATGGTATCGAGAAAATCAGATTTATCGTAGTTGTTATTAGATTCTCGATCATTTGTTTCTAAAACGTCGCCAGATAAATCATCAGTTTCAGAGTCAGATTCATCTGAATCTGATACCTCATCTGTCGACGTATCAGTTGTGGTATAATCAAAAGACAAATCGCTAGATCTGTCAGTATCATAACTACTTGTTGTGGTCGTTGTCGTAACACTCGGGGATAAATCTACGGTATCAACAAAATCAGTTTCCGAAAAACTATCATCCAACTCGTCGGTCAACACAAAAGTCTCATCCCTAACTTTGGGTGATACTTCATAAGACGTAGAAGTCATCACCTCCGATACAGAAACATCACTTACATCCGAATTCAAAGTGGCTTTTGCTGTATTATAACTACAAGTTGAACCGGTTGTCGATTCATCACTACTACTGTCCATTATAAATTGTGTAATATAAAAAATTATCATAAATTTGGATACGAAACAAAACGAATAATTATTATAATTAATTTACCAGTTGTTGAGTGGATTAAGTCTTCTATTACGTGCTGGCAATCATTTGCAAGTACTTGTGTTTGTGTTTGGTGAGCATATCGGTGACTGTGACCAGTCGTTTGATGTTTGGTTGGGTCCTGGCCAAAGCTTGGAGATCGGACAGATGTGAAACGCAAATGTGGTGGAGTGTTGCTAATTCTTTGCCTGAAAATAAAGAAAAAAATGGTAGGTAAGTTCTATTTTTTTCATAATCAGATTTTGTCATTAATTTTTGAACTTAAACTTCTAATTCGACTTGCAAAACGGTTGTAAAGTGACCAAGCGGAAATTGCCTGATCCACAATGCTATAAAGAGTCTGAAAATGTTCTAGATGGTTTTGAAAATGTTCTAGATGGTTTTGAAAATGTTCTAGATAGTCTTGCAAATGTTTTAGATTATTTTTAAAATGACAATTCAGTCATGCAAATGTCCTAATTTGTCTAAAAATCTTCGATTTTGTCTAAAAATGCCCTAGATCGCCTTGAAAATGTTCTAGATTCTTCTACAAAAGTTCTAGCTTATCCTGAAGAAGTTCTAGATTGTTTCAAAACGTTCTAGATTATCTGAAAATATTCAAGACAGTCTGAAAATGTTCTATATTGTCTGGAAATGTTCCATATGTCTTGCAAATGTTCTAGATTGTTTTGAAAATATTTTGGATTGTCCTAAAAATGTTCTAGATTGTTTTGAAAATATTCTAGATAGTCTAAAAATGTTTAGATTGTCTTTAAATGTTCTGGATTATCTTGAAAATGTTCTATATTGTGTTAAAAATGTTCTAAATTGTTTTGAAAATGTTATAGATATATGTAGTCTAAAAATGTTCTAAATTGTCTTGCAAATGTTCTAAATTATCTAAAAATGTCCTTCATTATCTTGCAAATGTTCTGAAATGTCTTAAAAATGTTCTAGATTCTCCCGAAGAAGTTCTAGATTGTTTTGAAAATGTCCTATATAATCTTGCAAATGTTCTGTATTGTCTAAAAATGTTCTGCATTGTTTAAAAAACTCTAAATTGTTTGAAAACGTTCTAGATAGTCTTGAAAATGTTCTAAATTGTCTAAAAATGTCATCAATTTTCTTGAAAATGTTCTATATAATCTTGCAAATATTCTATATAGTTTTGCACATGTTTTAGATTGTCTTAAAAATGTTCTAGATTGTTTTGAAAAAGTTCTAGATTCTCCTGAAGAATTTCTAGATTATTTAGAAAATGTTTTATATAAACTTGCAGATGTTCTATATTGTCTAAAAATGTTCTGCATTGTTTAAAATATTCTACATAGTCTAACAATGTTTTGAATTGTTAGAAAACGTTCCAGATTGCCCTAAAAATGATCCAAATTGTCTTAAAAATGTTCTAGATTGTCCTAAAGAAGTTCTAGATTATTTTGAAAATGTTCGAAATTGTCGAAACATGCCCTAAATTGTCTTGCAAATGTTCTAGATAGCCTTGAAAATATTCTATATTTTCTGAAAATGTTCTAGATAGCCTTGAAAATGTTCTATATTTTCTGAGAATGTTCTAAATTGTCTAAACATGTTTCAGTTAGTCTGAAAATGCTCTATATGGTCTTGAAAATATTCTAAATGTTCTGTCTGATTGTCTTGAAAATGTTTTATATGGTCCTGAAAATATTCTAAAGATTCTGTTTTAGATTGTTTTGAAAATGTTCTAGATCGTCTAGAAAATCTTCTAGGTTGCCTTGAAAATGTTCTAAATTGTTCTATATTGTCTTAAAAATGTTCTGGATAACCTTGAAAATGTTTTAGATTATCCTAAAAATGTTCTAGATAATCTGAAAATATTTTAGATTATCCCGAAGAAGTTCTAGATTGTTTTGAAAATGTTCTAGATAACCTTGAAAATGTTTTAGATTATCCTAAAAATGTTCTAGACAGTCAGAAAATGTTTAGATTGTCTTTGAATGTTCTAGATTATCTTGAAAATGTTCTATATTGTCTTAAAAATGAAAATTATCCTGAGGAAGTTCTAGATTGTTTTGAAAATATTCTAGATAGTCTGAAAATGTTTAGATTGTGTTCAAATGTTCTAGATTGTTTTAAAAATAGTATAGATAGTCAGAAACTATTCTAAATACTTTCGAAAATCTTTTAGATAGTCTGAAAATGTTCTAGATCGTCTTGAAAATGTTCTAGGTTGCCTTGAAAAAGTGCTCGATAGCCTTAAAAATGTTCTAAATTCTTCTATATTGTCTTGAAAATGTTCTGGATAGCCTTGAAAATGTTCTAAATTATTTTGAAAATGTTCTAGATAGCCTGAAATTCTAAATTTTCTAAAAATGTTCTAGATTGTCTTAAAAATGTTCTAGATTGTTTGAAACCGTTCTAGACCATCTGAAAATATTCTAGTTAGTCTGAAAATATTCTAGAATGTCTTGAAAAAGTTCTTCATTTTTTTGAAAATGTCCTAAATTGTCTTGCAAATGTTCTAAATTGTCTAAACATGTTCTGCATCGTTTAAAAATATTCTACATCGTCTAAAAATGTTCTAAATTGTTGGAAAACGTTCTAAATTGTCTGAAAATGTTCTAGAATGTTTAAAAATGTTCTAGATAATTTTCAAATGTTCCAGACAATTGAAACATATTCTAGATCTTCTACAATAGCTTGAGTTCTAGATTGTCTGAAAGTGTTCCAGATAATTAGACATTGTTCTATCTAGATTGTTTGATACTTTTCTAAATACTCAGAAATCGATTCTGTGAAAATGTTGCAAATTGCTTGAAAAAATCTAACTGGAAACACCATTATAGCAGTTTTTTTTAAAATAGTGAAATAATAGAACTCAAACATTTCGCTTGGTACTTATTTAATAGGTTGTCAAATATCTCCCTTCCGCTTTTTTGCTCTTTATTCAAAAGACAAAAAGGCGGAAGGGAGATATTTGACAACCTATTACTTGGATATTTCCCCATTCGATTTGGAAATGATAATTAAAGGACGGGATGAATTATGTATTGGCAATTAATCAATATTTATAAAGATAGAAGTCTTAAAGAAATATAATAAGTTAACTATTTTTATTATCATTATTATCTCGTACCTGTTTCACCATGATTTTGTGAGTGCATATCCTGTCCTGATGTTCCTGGATGATTCGGATCACCAATAGCTGAGAGCTGATCGAGGAACACGACCATTCGTTCTTTGTTTTTCAAAATGAACGGATTTACTACTTCCATGTAAGGTTCCTTGAAAAAAAATCAAACTAGTTGGTATTGGTATTTTGCCTTGAGGCAAGTTACATAAACCTCCCGATATGTGTTATTAATCGACTTAATCAATTAAAAATTAATTAATTTATGAGCAATTAAAAGTATACCGAGTGGATTTATTACACATCATTGAAAACGAACGAACACGTCAACTCGAAGTATTTTCTAAAAGCAAGTTTTCTAAAATCAACAATTTTTATAATTGAACCAGTTTCCAAGTAAGACTTTCATGGTTTAGTATGTTCATTAAGACCAAGTACTCTATCGTTATAAAAATAAATCGTCTAATTTTAATTTTAACAAACGTCAAAAAAACTATACTCATTTTCTCAAACTTTGATGAATTTTTAAAATTAAACTACTTGTCGTAAGGCCGTAATATTTCAGTAAGTTCTATAGGACCATGATATAATTGCCAAAAAAGTTCCATAAAAATCGGCTCCAATTTTTTTTCAACAGTTAATTACAAGAAAACGGCTCAGTAGATTTTTACCTAAAACTAATCAGTACCATTCCCAACTAATATCTTTCGAACAGCTTTCGATTTTTTAAAATCGATTCGGTAGTTTGAGCTTAAATGTGGACGAAAAGTTTAACACTTTTTTTAGAAATTACAAAGAAACGGCATGGCAGATCGTCGCACAAAACTGACAAACGATAGTCCTCATCGAGATACATCAAATGGCTTTTAAATTTCTGAAATCGGTTCAGGCGTTTTTGAGCAAACGTCGATGAAAGTTGTAATTTTGACAAATGCCAAAAAAACGATAAAAATTTTTGCAAACTTTGACGAATTCTTAAAGTTAAACGAATTGTCATAGGGCCATAATATTTTAGTATAAATTTTTTTAACACTTCATTACAAGAAAACTGCCCGGCCTATCTCTACCAAAAACTAATCAGCACGATTCGCAACCAATATCTTTCGAACGGTTTTTGAATTTTCAAAATCGATTCAGAATTGCGAGCTAAAACGTGAACGAAAATTTTTTCACTTTTCTGAGATTTACAAAGAAATGGCTCGGTCCAGAAATGGCTTTTAAATTTTTGAAATCGGTCCAGCCGGTTTTGAGAAAACGTCGATTTACGGCAAAAAATCTGTTTACACACACGCACACATACTTTTTCCAAATTTGGTCTCATTCGATTCAGAATAGCTTGAAACGTCGAGAAAACATAAAATTAGCGAAATAATATTTACAAACTTAATAAATTTTTTGCAAGACATTTATATGATATCAAATGTATATTCTATTTAACTATTATGAATTATTTGTTATATTGTTTCTGTGTATAGAAATGTAAAGGTAAGTGGTATTTTATCTATTGTGTTATCAGTTACTGATAAAACTGCAATTATCATATACATATCACATAAACTTTACAAAAAAAATTACTTTGCTTTCTAAAAACAATATATATATATATATATATATATATATATATATATATGTGTGTGTGTGTGTGTGTGAATCCAACTACCTTTACTAAAACAGTTTAATTCAAAGCCTCTTTAATCAAACATTATTTAAAGTCCTAAAGTTATTTTAGAAGTGAATCGCAAAATTGCCAATCAAAACCTCTCCAACAAGAAATTATTCCCTCAGACTGATAAGTATAACACCATGATAATATACATTTACACTGTTATACTCTTTTGCAAAAGCCTTAATTCTAGATTAGAATTAACTGTAATTGGCTCTGATTAAAAATGCAATATTTTTTTACCTTTCCACCAAATTCGACAAGATTTGCCAAGTTCTGCAAACATTTGGCGACCATAATCAGGGATCTGGTGGAATGATGCGGTGGAGTTTCGCTGACCAGGCCGAATTGACGAGGATTTAATAATGCAGGACAAAGGAGTCTCAGAAAAATAAAACCTGAAAAAAAAGAAATAGAACAAACAATTTTATAAAAATGAACACGTTATAGAACATTCAACTTCAAGTAAAAGTTAGAATAGAACAAAAGATAAAAATGATAAAATTGATATTCGAAGATGTTTTAACAATCCTAAAGAAAACACAAAAAACAACAAAACACAAATTCAATCAAAGGGTCTGAGCGTGTTTCCATACAGAATTAGCCCCACCCTGGTATTTAAATAATTTTGATGCCATTTTATAGGTATTTTCGAGAAAATTCGATATACCAAATTTCAATCCGTAGCTCATCATTTGGCCGAGATATCAGTGAAAACGTGTAAAGTGGCAACCTTTTTTTCAAACTCACTTTTTGTCGGAAATATGAGAGATATCGAAAACTGTTAACGTCATTCTATTTATACTGATCTTGTCTATGTTGTTCATAACAAATAATGTGAAAAAA